ATCTGTCCACGCATTGAAGCATAGCAAGACTTTGCGCAAGCAAAATATTAACAAAAAGCATTTATAATCCTACATTAGGAACAACTTTTTCTAACTATACGAAGATGAATGAATAAATGTTTTCAGCATTATTTTTGGTGTAGGACAATAATATGATTCGAAACCAAATTAACCATTTAGTTCTTTGTGATGAAGTGAGCCAGGCCTATTGACGTATCGTGAATACCGAGCACGACGCCAAAATTAAAAATTCATCAAGTTGCCAGAAACTGAGTTTCAGTTACATTACAACAAATGCGTTGAGCTCAAAAGGTGGAGCTGATACGTGCTAAGTCCTTTTATAAGCTGTTTTTTAAGGAAAAGGTTCATGAAGAATTAAAAAATTATGGGCGGTAATTGCTGCTACGGGCTGGTCTACGTGTTCGTGGGAGTAGCCATGATAGCGACATGTTTTCTATGCGACACAATCTTGAAAGAAATATCCGAGAAAAAGCTGAACGAACTCTATGACTCCGTTAACACAAGAAACGCTAGATCAATTCCCGATTTGTCATATTACCTTGGATATCTGAACGGAGTGGAAGCAGTTGTGACCCTCCATTTCTTTACGTTGGTTGAACCGGTTGCCCCAAACGCTACCCAGAGACCTGACATCCAGAAAATGCCAATTGAACGATAAGATACAAAAAACTGCGTGCAAGATTCGACTGGGTCATTGAAGTTTTCCTCTACGTCGCCTGTGGGATTTAACCTACAATTTCAAAATACCAAAATAATTGTACAGAAGTAATAAAACTTGACAGCCGAGTATACGAACGTGGACATAATAAAATGGCTAGTGAAATACTAAATTGATGACGCCATTACTTCTTTCATCGCGGAAAACTAACTCACTGAAATACTCGACAAGAAGGCACGTAATGATCTAACGATGCTCCATTTCTAACCGTCGAATAACGCTCTGTTCGGCCCATGGTCGCTGTGGTAAAGCATGGAATCACTCAGAGAAATCGTCTAAGACGCTGACTTGGATGTCGAGACTTAGCAAAGCATCGTACAAATACAAAAGTTTGTTTAAAACACAAGTCAACTACATCTAGACTATGGCGGGAAAATTGTTACATCGCACGAACTATATGCCTTCATAAATGACCTCCCGCACATTCGCTTGCCCATAATGTGTTCAACTCCAGACGAATATTTCTTGCCAGGATTGAGCGGCCTCAAGTTCATCAGTATTGATTAGAAAATTTCGAAATGCGTTGCCATGTGCCAGGCATTAGCGAAAGATGGATAACAAAGAAAAAAACGTGAAACCAAAGAAAAATTACCCGGCATGTCAACGTTTTTGAATGAAGACTAGATGAATTCGACGACCTAATAAATTTAGATTTAAACAAGTACTACAAATGGCTTGGCTATCAGCAATGGAGGTAATTTTAGTGGGACAAATTTGATTTCTAACACAAGTTCAGATAACAAAATTAAAAAGGACTTCTCTAGCCTGCACGATCTCAACGATAGAAACTCATCTACATCAGCCCTGATCACTGAGCGCGACAAGTAACCTGTGTCTACCGATCCGGATTTAAAATTTCGAGAGCCTTGCCTCTAATTGACAAAATCCAACCCGAACAGACTGGATGTTTTCGTGCCTCTCAACGTTCCCGTCAATGGATCAATTGCACTGCAAGTCAACTTGCAAGTGCCTGATGAGGAGTAGTACGAAGAGCTGCGTGGCCGCGGTTTACCTCTTCTTTGGATTAATGTGACAGTGTCACGCCTGCCTGACAGACTTTCTTTCATTTTAGATCAAGTCATATCAATGAGAGATAGTTTCATAATTAGCTTCCTGATTGTCGGTTTACTCTTCTTGAGCGCGGGGCTTGCTCTACTCTTCTGTTGACCCTTTAGGACGAAAAAGAGATTAGTGCGCAACAATGCTGACCTAGAGATCGAAAATAATATAAATAATTATGCCTAGAGTTTCTGTATTAGTTGCCCATTTTGTCTCTCGTATGGTCTTTGTAAATACACGCAGACTGTCTTTTTCGAAGGCACAGTGTGTCTTAGCCTTGATGATTATATCCCGACGCGTGCCCGTTAGTTCGAAATTTTTTCTTCAACGTCTTGAGTCTTCAATTGTAATGTTCAATTCAATTTTTTTCAATTGTAATGTTCTGGGTAACAGAATTCAATAATGGAAAAATTTTAATATGGCGCACCGGAAATGGAGTTCACTTTAAAATCTTTTGTAAGTAAATTCAGTGACAGTTGTACGCTCTGTCGTCCAAATATATACCAGTGAATGTCGACGTTTACGCGCTTCTAAAGTATGAATGAGGATATAGTTATATTAAAATTAAAAAACTGAGTTAAAAAAATAAATAATCTAGAGCGTTTTTTGGAACCGTTTTTGCATAATTGAGGTTTATAAATATAATAAATATATTTTTAATGTATGAAACAAACCTTTATTTTATTACGACTCTATGTTTATGGTTTAAAATCTTTATGATTGGGACCAACGTCACGATTAGGAAATGTTTCACGAAATATAATATCGTATAATGTAATATAATATAATACAATATAATCAACAGCACAGGCTCGAAAATGTTACACGAAATATAAGATCGCATAATGCAATGTAACTCATCAATACAATGTAATCAATAGCCCAGACACGGAAATGTTGCACGAAACGTAATACCGTATCCTGTAATATAATACAACATAATATAATAGCCCCTGACTGAGACGTAAGCGCAATCAAGCGGAGTTGAATCAAATAGTCCAAAAAATATATGACGAACGCTGCCCCAGAGCAATTCTGCAAATAATTGGCAATGGGGAAAGCTTGGGCTACAATATCAAGACTTTTTGGGCATATTCTTCTGTTTTCAATGAATTTTACTTTATTTGGCTCCCCTGAACAATTTAAAAATCCAAAAAAATGCCATCTTTAAAAAAATATAACTCCAACAGTTTTCAAGCTACGGCAATGAGAGACATACCCTTCGATTTGTAAAAATAATACCTAGCGACTCTAGAAGCTTTTTTTTAATATGTGCATGGTTTGACTTATATATGGGAGGGGGAGGAAGGTGGGGGGTAAAAATGTGAAAAAATGGGATGAACGCGAAAAAAAAACGAAGAGGAAAATCAAAAATCGGGGCTCTACAGCCACAGTCGCTAGATATTGTTGTTACAAATCGAATGATATGTGTCTCGACATTGTAGCATGTGATTTGCAAAAGTTATAAACTTTTTTAGAGTACCCCTTATTTGCTGTTTTCTATTAATTCCACGTTTTCTTTCATTTTTTTAAATTGACATGAACAAAAAGGTCTTAGATTTCTGTTTTACATATGTGTACCAAGTTTCAAAACGATCCGTCTGTAAACAAAAAAGTTTTGTTGGAGGGTAGCCGGTCTCTTAAGTAAAATCTAAAGGCGTTATCTATAAATGTAGCGGTAGCGCTGTAGCGGCAAAACCTCGTATCGCTACTTAAATATGTAGCGCTACCGCTACCGCTACATTGCCTTAAATGTAGAACCGCTACCGCTACTGAAAATGTAGCGGCCGCTACATGTAGCGCGCTACTGCCCACCTCTGCTTGAAACTATCGTCAGTCATGAAAAGATCCGGTCAAACGAAACGATATTAGATCATCTGTGAACAAGGCACGAAAAGGAAAAGAATCGGCGACAGGCCACATCAGGCCTACACTTCAGCGCCGAGATCAATATGTTATGTTATATGTAACAATTACCATCACACAACCGTAACCTTTTATTCCGATCCAATACATCGTTGCTTCCTAATATTCTTTTTCTTGCAGACACAGTCCCAACAAATGGTCATTTGTGAAGCTGCGGACACGAGCAAGTCGATGGAAACTCGCAGTGTAATCAAACCAACAATGCATTAGTCAGAACAATGACCTACGATCATGTAAGTAACAATGCGTTGCAGTAAAGTCTTCAGAATCTTTTTTCTTTCCTCAGTTTTTAATGAAATCTGACAACGCTGTAACCCAAAAGTCCAACCAACTTGGGTATGTTAAAAAATTTCTAGGTAATGAAAAACGAAGTAAGCATAATCTTACGGCGGTTGCAGAATCTCGAAATGTGCAACACAAAATTTTCCTTTCAATTTGGTGAGATATGATCAAGATTGACCGATTTGAGACGTAATGTTGCTTAATTTACGTTCTTTAATTGGCTTGCTTTATCGCCTCCGCTTTCGCGTCTGGAGAAATATCAGTCACGTTCTCAACCTTATTCTCGGAAGTGATTTCTTTTCCCTCCTAGACTGTTGATCGAATTGGAAAACAATTGGCTTCCACATCCCCATGATGATTGACAATTACCACTTCAAAAATACGTAACGTTTCGCGAATGTATTCGACTGTTTTGCAATCTGAACCTCGGATGCTCATTGTCATCGCTCTCCATATATCATGTTATATTACCTCTACACTCGTCCCGTTCCCACATTTCGAAGATCCTTCAGTTTCAATTGTAGCGAACTTCCAGTTTATTCTTTAATCCGCACTTCTTTCCGGCTTCATGTTTTAGCTGCACACGGCGTATTACATTTTTACAAGCATTGTTACCATTGTTCACTAATTCAGTCACCTTCCAAATGTCTCTCATAATAGGGACTTCACGATTTCCTTGTAGTCTGCAATGTTCAGAAACGGTCTTCAGGTCAATGCGAACTTCACTGCGAACGAGCTACTCACTTAAATGGTTTAGAAGCTACGAGATTTAATTGTTCAAGACAAAATCTAACCCTTCTCAAATGTTTGGTGAAATTAGAATGCGACCTTCATAATAATTTGGAAGCTCTGTAATTGTGCCAGAGAGCTCAAACCATCATAAATAATCATTAAAATAGAAGTCTTCCTATATTGGCCATTGAATTTCAGCACCTTCAAGTTGTCTTCCCCATCCGAAAGGCTAAGGTTAACGAAAGGTAAATGAAAATAAACAGCTTTTTAATAACTGTATTTTACAATGTACATTAAGTTCAAATGCTAAATATAAAGACGAGTTAATAGAGGATCATAAGTCCATATTCTGACAAGGTTAGATGTAACACCCAAATGTAGGACGATTTTCGTCAGTACTGATACCGCGAATGGCAGTAGTTCAAGATGCGAGCAAACTTCGCAAACAAAGCAGATATATTCCGCAAGTTTCCGATAAGTGCAGTGGTGCATTACTTCTTAAGGCTTATTTGATAGCTTTCCTGCTTAAGGAACTATAACCATCAACTCGCTTAAAGAAAATAAATTGAACTAAGAAGACATTCAGTAATAAAGTGACTGAACATACACTGGCGAATTACTAATTCTCAAAATAGAAAGCGTAATAACGTCTTAAAAATAAATTTGTCCTTAAGTTAATATCGATCCTCCCTCCGATCATGCGCTTCACTTACTCCTCCCAAGCTCCAGGTACCAATTTACTCCACGGAATCGAAGTAGTTCTTTACACACCGTACGGAACAGGGCTCCTGAAAGAGAAAGGTGTGCTTTAATAACACCATAAGTAGAACATAATGCAATGTTGCAAGGTTTCATTAAACCTGACCTATTAATCGCTCAAGTTATTCTAAACACACAATCTCGTCATTGGGAATCAGAACTCGAAATAATAACAAGATGTTATAAGTCAAAAATTAAAAACCCGACAATTGGGCGTAGATGAGGAATTCGATGCATTCCTAAGTTACACACCTCGGTCGGGATCGTCGAGCAGATCCACTGCGAGATCGCCTGTCAGCGGATCGTGACCGCGAGTACTTGCGATCCTTGGAGCGGGATCGTGAGTAGTCTCTGGATCGACGGGGAGATCGAGATCGGGAATACGACCTGCGACGGCGAGGTGACCGGTCACGGGAATGAGAACGGCTGTAAGAGCGGCGTCCTCGTGAGCGGCTGCGAGACCTTTAAGAAAAATATAAGCTTTAATGTACGTAGCCGCTTGTAGCTCACGTTCGTTAGCGGGTAATCCCGACTTCGTAATGTTGGCGAAGGAAGGTGACAAGAAAACTGAATAATTCTTCGTAGGCTCAACAAAATACGCACAAACCAACATAGAAAGAAATTCACAGCGAGGAAAGCAGTGAATGCGAGTTCAATTCGATGGTCATTCAAGAATGACACGACTCTTGGTGAGCTGTGCAGACAATTGTGCTCAGCAACAGCTCAGCCGTGTCTCCTATGAAACATACTCCGTTATTGCATCAATCGTTAAGAACTTCCCTCTACTTTCGTATTTTCCCCGAGCTTGGACAGACCACTACGGTCACCTATTCTTCGCCCTCTTCATTTTGCTACTCCCATGAAATTCCCCATACCCAATTCCATCCACATGCTGTTTTTCCGCAAATTTTTGTCGATCCATTTCACACAATTTCATTTCATCAGTCATGCTCTCATCGTTTCTACCCTCTCTTCATACAATTTCAATTAATTTTTTCATAACGTGTCAACATACTTTCCTGCGGGTTTGGTGATACAAGCATCTTACAAAATTCATCAATAACGACATTAACACAAATTTTCAATTGTTTCCAGTTCAAAATCAAACCACATTTATCAAACATACATTCGTTATTTCATTGGGATATACTCTGTTAAAAAAATCCAAAATTTTCACGACAATAGAATTATTGGTGAAATAATGAGAGTTGTGATTGTTGCAGGAAATTATCTGAAAAGAACGTTTATAGAAGAATTATTCCAAAAGACAAATCAGGCTACAGAAAATACAATCAAATTCAGAGCAACTCTACACATTGGTGAGAATTGTGCCTGGTCAAATTGGTGAACTAAGTTTTCTGAAGAAAAAATACAACTTGTAAAATTTTTCTTTCTAAAGGGCAACATTACTGGAAGTAAGCAGAAATTGCAGTTTTGCTCAACGTCCGTTTTTGATTCACACAGAGGTGAATTGTTCAATCCTCAAGCTTAGTTCCACGAGTAATGTAGTGAAGAAGCACACTTATCACACCACAGCCATAATTTATCCACAAATAATGAATGCTTCCAATATAATAGGATGAGAAATCAATCATTCCAATTCCTTCTGAGACAGCATATCAAGAAGGGTAATACGAGAGAACAAGAGCCTCTAACAACCAAACATTTTAATAATTACCACTTCAGCACGTTAGTTCATAATCTTAGATTCGATATTGGTCATATGGCTCTTAGAAATGATATATAGGCACACACGAGCTGATAACATGCTAAGAATTAAAACTTCCACAAAACTTGTTAAGAGTCATTAAAAATCTTATATTGTATGCTCACCTGTCTCGACGACCTCTGGAATACAATCGGCAGTCACGGGCATAGTGGCCGCGCTCGCCACACTCGTAGCATTTGTCCTCAGGGTGGAAGGGCTTCACTCCCCCTCGTGGAGGGGGACCATCATACCGACTGCGGCTACGTCCCGTTGACATCTCAACTCGTACCCTCCTCCCGCAAATTGTTCTGCATTTGCAATGTGCCAAGTAAAACTTTCGTAATGAAAACATAATGTCGAAAAATACATAGAAGGAAGATTTTAAAAATTCAAATGAACATAAATATATACATGCTAACACTGCTAACACATTTGCCATGCAATCACTTGACCTTGAATCATGCAATCACAATCACTTGACCACCAACACTTACATAATATATAGTCAGATGGGGTAAGACAGGACCGAAATCACTAACACGCCTGCAGCATCTATACCATGAATAACTAAAAAACCTTAAACCTATCACAAGGTGTAGTTATGCAATGGGCTTTTAAGCTACAACTCAGACGTTTTGCATCTAACATAGTTTTCTGTACAGATTAAAAAAAGTGAGCTGGTTACCCATTGGGGTAAGATGGGACCAGGCTGGGGTAAGAAAGGACCAACTGGTAATTCTTATGTTACAAGGTTTTTAATAAAAGTACAAATCCGATATTCAATATTATCAATCTAGAAACACATTATTTGATTAAACAACCACTTGTTACTGTTTTGTGTTGCGGGAAGTCCACTCTAATCAGTCACATTGAAGTTTTCACGAGAAAACTTTGTTAAGCACAGTGATAGTGGGTTGGCTTTGGTTCATTGTAGAGCACTGCTAAATGCTTCATGTATATTCCATTAGTGTCACTGTCTGAAAAATTTATCAAATTGGTAATAAAAATAAAGTGTCAGTCAGATGTCAGTAATAAACAGTGTCAGATGTCATGTGTTTTCTTGCTAACTGCATTTGTGGTGCATTTCTTCAAACATACCGGTAGCTCATGCCCTGTCACAGAGTTGTGATCATAATTATTTTTCAGGTTTCACACAGTGATTTTCCCCCAGCCAATCTTGCACATGGTTCTGCAGCTCACTAATGGGAATAGACATCCCTATTTTCTATATCCCTTTGATGCAATTTAAAATAGTGCACTAAATTTCTTGAATACATGTCAGGCAGTGATGGTAGCAGGTAGGAATGCCTAGTATGTCTAAAAAGTTGCCTATTACTCGAGGTTACCTGCCTACATCCACAAACCTGGCCAAAAAATTTTTTGTCATTCGACAGAGCTTATTTCCCAAACAGGGTTAACTATTTTGTGACCCATCTTTACATAGGTTTTCTTTAAAAATTAGCCAGAAAATCATTAGTTGCCGAAGAGGGTTGTCACAAACACTGAAATGACAGGCAATGATTAGTCTAACATATTCTTTTGTCATATTGAATTCAGTGCAATTAGAATGCACGCCATGGACTGGTCCTTTCTTACCCCATGAAGGTTGCGATCCTGTATTACCCCATTTGACTATATTTATAGCAAATAATGTAGACCAAGGTACAAGTATTTTTTAAACGTAAAAACTTTCTATACAGGAAAATCTTCATAAACTATTATGCACCAACCATTTGATTAATCAGATGGTAGTTAATTCAAGCAAAGAAATTTCAAAAAACAATTCCAAAAGATTAACTTAACAAAGAGCAAAATAAATAGAATTTGGTAACTTCAAAAACAAAACACCTCTAGATCATGCCAGGACTAGTAATATCAAGGCAATCCTGCAAGAAAATTACAATAGAACAAGAAAATTAAAATTCTGACAAGCTTTTTGACACTGAGGCTTCCAACCAAGTGGATTTTACTACAAGGTTCAAGTAAATCCTCAGAATGATGAGATTTGTTCATGTGTACAAAGAACTGACCTTCCATCTAAGGCCCTGACAGCATCATCTGCATCTCTTGGGTCCTCAAACTCGACAAAAGCAAAGCCAGGAGGGTTGCGGGCCACCCATACATTTGTCAGTCGTCCATAATATGAGAAAGCATCCTCAAGATCCTGCCGGGATGCCGTGGAGCCAAGATCTCCAACATAAACCTTGCAGTCCGCGGGACCAGGCATCTGCAAATGAACAGCTCTTAAAATTTGATTGAACACATCACACATGGCCCTAAAAAGTGATGGTTTTCATCACTCAATTCTTGGATGAAATACATGTATACAAGGTTTACATTAGATACTGACAATAAAGTCAAATGGAGATAATAAACACAGATACTACATTGATGATGCTGGCATTAATGATACTTTTCAGGCGTACTAATAGGACTCAAAAATTGAAGAGTAAAAGCTCTGCTCTGTCACAATGGACTGTGAACAGCAGTGAATACATTATGCAACTTAACCATCCTTTGAGCTCCGAGTCATAATGACCCACATTTTTTGACCCAATGCCAGGAGGGTTAAATAAATCAAAACATTTCAACTGCTATTATATTATGTTAATTAAGAAATTGCAAGTCCAATTAATAGTATAAGGTTGGGTGGAATGTTGGAAAGCCACCTGAAATATTCAAAATTGATCCAAATCCAATTGCTTTGCAATTTGTGTCTTGCTCAGTTCTAGATTTTCACCAAAATTATACAAGATCTGTTTTTGGTTTTCCAATATAATGCATGTGTCCATATATACAGTTCCTATTCAGGCAAATTGGGCAGAAGCCTTCAATGAATGAGAGAATACCATCCATGCTTGTGGTTAATTTTTCCAATTTTTATGGAACTTGCTCAATTCCTTTCATTAAGAATAATAGAAATGTCACTCTTTTGACCTAATTTCTGAAAATAGCAGGTTGGCGATTTTTTTCAAATAAAAAAATCAAAAATTGATAATTTTTTCATGATTCTCTTTTATTTATTTGCTTTTTTCAGCTTTTTATTGTCTTTTTGAAATGTTATTTTTTATATTGCAATTAGCCTACTAACAATAACAGTATATGGAAGGCTAAAAATGGGCAGTTATTGCCTTCAAGAATGGCCAAGGTGGTGTTCATCACTTTGAGACTTTTGGGTTAATAATTATTGATAGGTTTATTCATTAGCTTTGTAAAGTTTGTATGGAGCAAGGTAACGAGCTAAATATTGACCATTAAAGCAAGTTCAATATACAACAACACTTCAGGAATGCAGATCTTTCAAACATTGATGAGTCGCATAACAGATAGGTAGCTGATATCACAGTCAACAGCGCACAATACTTTCAATAGATTTACTAGTTTTATGTCCTATAAATCTACCAGACTCTACCCTCTAAACACACAGACTAGTAGAGACTGAGTTACTGCCTGCACTGTTCCTATTTGATTCAGACTAATAAACCAATACTAAACATAATTTATAAACTGAACGACAACCAAACAAACCTCAAATTACTTTAAACGAGACTTATGTTATGAGAAAAGCTTACACTGTTTGAAATGAACATGTATACAATTCAAATATTCCATTTCCCTTCACAGCATTTTATTATTGTATATATGGTTTTATAATTGTTATTGTGTTGTTTCTAGTTTTAAATTCACATATTTAAAGATTGAAATTAAATATATTAATTAGAATACTCGTATTAGGGTGACAATCTTTCTGTATATTATATGCCTAAAGGCCGTAAAAGGTCAATACAATCTCAACCAACCCTTCATACATAAGCTAGCTAACACATGTAATTGTATAATGTAAGTAATATATAACAAATAGTCAAATAGTTTGTTAAAGACTACTTATAGCCTTATAAGAATTAGCTAAGCTGCTAGCTATGTACAATGTATTGCAGTAGTGTTTATTACGTTCCAATGAATTGTAGGTTTTTGGTGAAGAGGCATTGTGTTGCAATACATTGTACATAGCTAGCAGCTTAGCTAATTCTTATACAGCTATAAGTAGTCTTTAACCATTCCACTATTTGTCATATATTAATCACATTATACAATTTACATGTGTTAGTAAGCTTAAACAAGAAGGGTTGGTTGAGATTGTATCAATTGACCTTTTAGGCATTTAGAAAGATTTTCCACTCTAATATGAGTAACGAGTATTCTAATCAAAATATTTAATTTCAATTTTGAAATATGTAAATTAATAAATAGAAACAAAATAATTACAATTATGAAACTATATATAAAATAATTAAATGCATTGAATGGAAATGAAATATTTGAATTGTGTACATGTTTATTTTAAACAGTGTTAGCTTTTCTCATAACATAAGTCTTGTTTCAAGTTGTTTGAGGTTTGTTTGGTTGTAGTTCAGTTTATGTTTAGTATTTGATTTGTCTAATGGTCTAAATCAAATGGAAACAGTGCACTCAGTCACTCCATCACTACTAGTCAGTGTGTTCAGAGGGTAGAGCCTGGTAGATTTATAGGATATATAACTATTAGATCTATTGATAGTGTTGTGCACTGTGCTATCAGCTACCTAGCCAATCTTTTTGACTTATGTTGTTATGTGACTTCAATTTTTAGAAGATCCACACTCCTGAAGTGCTGAGCTGTTTGTATATTGAAGCTAGAAAAATGGTCAATATTTAGCTCATTACCTTGCTCCATACAATCTTTACAAAACTAATGAATAGACTTATCAATAATTGTTTATCCAAAAGTCCTAAAGGGGTAAACACCAGTACACCACCTTGGCCATTCTTGAAGGTAATAGCTAGCTGCCCTTTTTAGCCATCTATATAGGCATATAGGGCCTATCCCTACTGTTATTGTTAGTAGCCTAGGCTAATTGCAACATCAAAAATAATATTTCAAAAAGGTAACACTTTAGATCAAGTGCATCCAAAAAAAGGGCATTTTTTTATCATATTTTCTTGGGGATGTAGATTAAGAATCTGAAATCCGTTTTTGGCGGTTGGCATCGGAAATATTTAATGGAACCTGTTTCCAACTGGACCTAACCTGCGAGGTTTTCGTTGATTGGCTAGGTTTTTCCGGCCGCCGGACGGACTCCAAACATAGAAAAAACCTAGCCGATCAATGAAAATCTCACAGGTTAGGTCCAGTTAGGAACAGGTTCCATTAAAAATTTCCTATGCTGACCGTCAAAAACAGATTTAAGATTCTTAATCTACACCCAAAAAACATAATAAAAAAAACATCCTTTTTTTTTTGGATGCACTTAATACAAAGTAATACCTTCACAAAAGAAAAAAAAAAGAAAAATCAAGAAATCAAATAAATAAATAGAATCATGGAAAACTAACAAAAAATCATTGACTTTTAATTCTTTTATTTAAAAAAAAATATCACCAACCCTGGTATGATGCTCTTGCAAACGCATAAGTACTCACAATAATTCCCTGCCACCATGCATGGAACTAAAACAAAGCTTAATATAAAGGAAAAACTAGAGAAGTGACGGAATTACCTACAATGTCGGAATATACCGCGTTTACCCTAGCCGATCAATGAAAATCTCACAGGTTACGGTTAGGTCCAGTTAGGAACAGGTTCCATTAAAAATTTCCTATGCTGACCGTCAACAACAGATTTAATAATCTTAATCTACACCCAAAAAAACATATAATAAAAAAAAAACATCCTTTATTTGGATGCACCTAATCTAAAGTAATACCTTCAAAAAAGACAAAAAAAAATCAAGAAATCAAATAAATAAAATCATGGAAAAATAACAAAAAATCATTGACTTTTAATTTTTTTATTTAAAAAAAAATATCACCAACCCTGGTAGCCTATTGGTAATGTAGGATACCTAATAAAAACAAATTGTATTGGGTTAGGACTCAGAAGTGAGAAGTCAACATAAGGCTAGTAAGACCTCAAATTTAAAAATGAACAATTGCTTCAGAAGTTCAGAACTCAAGTCTTGACTGGCATGAGGCATCATGGCAAGTTGGCAACTGCAATTGGCATTCCAGCTTAAACGCTGGATTTTGTATCAATATTTAATACAAGATCAACCATTTCAATAGTCTCAAATGTTAAATCCTTACCACTAGAACTGAAACTGAAAGCATTATCGGATGAGCTGTGGGCTCCGGCTAAAAGACGTTTTACAATAATTTGGCGATTCCAATCTTCAAAGTTTGCTAACAGATAATTATCAGATCGGGTAGCAAAATCTACCACAAGTTGATACAACTTATCATAGCTAGCTATGAGTTAAAGAAGCGGCAACTCAAGAACTCAAACGAGATAGCTAGGCTAAATTATGAACTAGGTATCCGCTACTCTAGTTTTCACTCTTCACCAACTATAAAATGTCTATAATACATCAAATGTTGAAAATATGTTCTCATACTTACTTTTAACCTTGTATCTATATGCAGTCACTGTTGATTGAACGCTCACTTCAGATTAGTTAATACCACGGGTCAGAGAAAACTGAAGTAACCTCAACCACGGAGATCAACTTACTGACCAGCAGCCATTTTGAAATTTCAGTGTTGCCATAACAATAATCCTGAAATTCTAGAATGGACTAGAACGTTTTAAAACTCTTGCGGACCCGATCAATTCAAAATGTAATCTTAAGGCTTGAATCACTTTTATTCTTCTTCTTTAACAAAATGAAGTCGGGTTTTGTATGGCATAATAAGAAATGATGATGATATTCAAATTTTCCTCCTCTTTACTTTCACGTCTCGGACAAATTTACGGCCGGACTTGCGGCCGGTCTCGCGGCCGCGGTGTCCAAATTCAGTGTACCTGGAATATCTTTCAAAGTACTCAGCGTACCTGGATGAAACTTTTTACATGTACTCATTATGGCCTGACGGTGATGTCAAGCTCGTGACAATTTTTTCGATTTTGCCTTCGTTTGCGAGTTATACGGCTTTACGCTATGAAGCTTCCAAGCCTCAGTTATCGTTAGGTGTCCATACAAAGAGCGATCTGTGAAGATTACCTCGATGTCCATGAGGAAGAATCTTATGTGTTTAGCAAGCACTGTTAAATAGCAACAAGCAAAACCAACACGAATCTTCCCACTTCAAAGAAGCTCTGTCACATTTTGGAACGCAGGCTTTATGCGACCCCTCTTCAGTTGGAATAATCCGCCTGCATCTTGCTACAGATACTCTGTTCGGTTTTCTCAGTGCACTGAATTCTCTTATTAGAGAAGGTATAATTGCAAACAATACCCTCCATGCCGCAGTTAAGGTAACTGGTCGTCGTTGAGTTCATGTTTTACATACCACAATTTCAGGTCGTCGTTTCAATATTTTACATACCACAACTTCCGCTCGTCGTTTATATGTTTACATACCACAACTTCAGAGGGGACTGCATTGAGATTTTCAAGTTCAACCATGGGCTTGACTAGATAAACCCAATCAACAGATGGAACAATCTTAGTTCGTCAACGCTACTTACCTGAAAAGCTGAGCGTACGGATTAATGGTATAGTGGACGGATCTTTCGGGCAACTAACTATAGCCGACAGAATCATATATGGCATGGCTTATTCACACTCCAGGTTACTTTCACTCGTTAGAAATCCAAATTGAATAGCGCAATAGCGATTAGTGACTGCCGTGAATGACTACACATGCACACCAATCGTGCACCAATGTACAAAAACCAATCGCGTTTCTCAGTTGGGCGACACTTAACGAAAAACACAGACGGCCTAACGCGAGGTCGCTGGGACCGTACATTGTTGCACATAAGATTCTGCCCCTGAACACTGAACAGACACTCGCAGTCTGGTGTTGCGAGCGTGATGGTGGGGTGCACAGGGTAGAAGTCATGAGAACTGCAATTCCCGACGAAGGCTATGGTATGCGTCCGAAGAATATTGTGAAAATTTGCCTAGAGAGCTACAGGAGGATCGCCGTGTCGTACATTTTCTCACGGAGTATTTTGAGAATGTTGTATGCCATGTGTGGGGTTATCAAAAATTTTCATTTTTCACGCAACTACAAAGTTCCATCATAAATTGGACCGAAAAACTGCATTTATTCTGGCTTAAAGGCTGTCAGGTTGAGCTCACACATATCATGGTAATACACGCGACAGTTAACGTTATCGTACGGTAGATATATACTTTGCTATATTATTAAACGGGAAGCACATTCATTTCAGTCGATCATTCCTCCGTAAACTTCTATCGTGTTTGATCGCGCACCCGCCCTCATCCTCTCACCCATGCTCGAGCTCCCTATGCCAATAATTATTGTGATCTTTGATTCAATTTGTGGATAAACAATGTAAAAGGTCTCGTTCACGTTTCAATTACTAACAGGCCTAAGAATTCCTCGTTGCGTAGCAAGGATGCAGCATCACAATCTGCATTCAAGCAATAGTTCGACTTGGAGCGAGGTAGCTGAAAACGGCCATATAGATCACTTCGTAACCAGGTTCATTAGAGAGGTAACAAATGAAAGGCAGCTCGTGTAATTTAAAGTAAATTAATAATATGGTTTAACATAATTACTGGCCAAAACAATCAAGCTGGTACCAACATAGCAACATCAACACAATTTCTGTAACACATGTCATCAAAAAATTATCTCATGAGAAAGAGATTTAATTAGAACATCCTCCTTTAATTCATAATCGCATTGAATTGTGTTGATTGCTCCGAAATGTTCGCACAAAATCAAAAAACAGTAGTTAACATCATCAGTAACTTAATGAACACAAAGCGATAGTATACAGCATCGAGAGTGATTGTTCCGAAGAACATCTTTTCACAGTCGTTTAGCTTTTCCAAACATCGATCTAATTTTGACATCGTAACCATTCATTTTTACGATAATATCTGAGCAGACTTGAGTTCCACATTTTAATTGAAGAGAATAAATGAAAATGGAAAAATAAGAACTGAGCGAATCAATGAGAAGCAACAAAGAATCGCATGATATTTAATAATTGACAGTCGAAAGATGGCCACAGCGAGTCCGAAAACGTGGTAATGATAATGAGACGTGCGAAACCGAAGTCAAAACTTCGACTTCAGCATTCATGCTTACAAACACACGTGAAATGAAACAGCGTGGTCAACACAAGCCAACAAACAACGAACAGAAAAATTTAGAATCCCGTGAAAATGGCAATCAAGAGGCTTATTATTCTACAGCATCATCGCAATATGTATTTGACAAGTTTTCCGCTATTAAATCCCGAAAAAAAATTTATGATCTATTAAATGAAAAAGCTGCAGACGTAGTATATTTTGAAACTTCAGCGTCGAAATAAAACAAGTTCGAGTTTATTTGCAACGTATGACATTCAGGTGCGGGAGGTTGCTAGTTCTTTCATCACCCGAGTCCACGCATCCTCGTTCATCACCATCCGCCAAGACCCAAGCAATGGCCGGAGTTCCATAAACAGGTTTCAATATTGATATTCGTATCTAAAATACGGCCAACTCGGCGATGTTTTCAGTCAAGCGTCGATGGCTAGCTGCAGTTGTGGCCACGAGGTAAAAATAATTTTCAATTTACCGATACATGTACTTCTTGTAGCGTCGTGAATTTTAGCCAGTCCGTTTATCCAAAGAGTTGGCCGTATGAGAGCTGGAGAAAAACTGGGCGGCTTGCAGAGACATGGTTGTAAATTTAGAGTTCTTAGATGCCACGTTGGGCGTGGGCTTTGCAGAAAGGCTTGCCGCCTTTGGCGAAGAAGCTCTGACCTTCCAAGTTCTTGTGGCATTTCTGTAAGGTGGTGGAAAGATAAAACCTGCGTTTCACAGACAATAAGTAATTGAATCTTAATTCGAATCTAACAAGTGATCAAAATAAAGGAAATGAGGTACACACGCAATCTGTGTGCAAATAATTTACTTAACAGGCGTACGAACATTTCTTCAATGAACTTTTCAGTTCACAGCAAACACGAAACTCAAACTAACTGCCATCAGGACTAATTTAGAAATGGAAATAACTTGGGCCTTTATAATTTTGAATGTTAATTTAAGCACGGTAAGTGAATAGTTCCTGATTAGCTGGATCAAATGTCCCGATGGTAAACAAATAATATCAATTATAATCTATATCATTTAATTATCATCATCAAATTACATTAATCGCAAATACTAAACAAGGAGATTTAAATTTAATGATGAAACGAGAACAAAATCTTAAAATATTATCCGGCTCGACGAACACTGAAGAATGTATCGTACAGTGAAACTAAAGCAACGCAACATACGAGTCTGACATGAAATTTTACGTCCAAACTTTAAACAAGCTGAAGCACCTGTACGCTAACAGAATTTCAACATTTAACTTTTCGACAAAATTTAACATTTCGACAACAGAATGGATAGAGAATGTCCCCCTTGGCAGCAGGTCAGTTAATGTTTTATGTTCGTGAGCCACACGAACGAAAATCTTTGAAACATCTTCAAGTTGCTAAACGCTAACAAGAAGCTAAAGGAACGGAGGAAAAACAGGTGAATAATTGAACGTGTTGGGTCAGTCAGCGGTTAAGGTTTTTGAATTACCACAAAGACACCAGAAGGATGAAGCATCAACTCATCATCATGCACAGCAGTTGATTACACGTGAAAAAAACTTGCTTTAGTTCTGGGCAACGAGAAACAATAAAAATTTTTCTCAACCGCAAATCGATTGCTCCTTAAAACTCATTGTAAACTATATAATTAAGTTCTGTAGTGGCAATTCCTGCAGGACATTGACAATTTTCATAACTCATCACAATTGCTATCAATAAAGTTTATTACTCAAGACGCTATCATGAAAAGAGCAGGCGAGGGCCAGCGTTGATGGCAGCAAGTGCAGGCTACTAAGCATCGGTAGAGAGTATCAAAAATTCATCATCTAAATCGTAGAAACCAAAATAATATTGAATAATTCAGTATTCAAAAAACAATAGTTTTCGTTCCACTTCAATAAACGCCAGAAAAAAGGTGACCAAATCTCAAATGGCTGTCATGCTCACGCTGTGTTATATAGGGAGCGAGGCAAAGAAGACTTCAGGGATGAACTACGCGAAACTTACTCAATGTAGAACTATAATAATCAGTACGCCGAAGAAAATGACAACTAATCGACCGAGAATACTTGGACGTTAGATCAAGTTCTTGACACTGACAGCGCTGAATATGATTTCCTTCAATAATTTTTGAATTTTCATTTTGATTTGGTAACTCTGATTTTGATGTTACGAAGCGTCACACTCCCGTCATTGTAGTAAAGTTTCACATCTGCCATACCGTTGCTATGAGCTTTAGTATCTTCAAGATGCATAAGAAAACAGGCGTATAATGTTATTTTAACTTAGGCATGGAACCTCTTAGTCTAATCACAAGGACGATTAGAAATTGGTGACTAACGTCTTCACTGAAATAAAGTGATTATTTTCGTATCGGGGGTAGGTAGAAGATAGGAAGACGCAGAAGCGGTGAAATACGTTAACGCTACTACCAACAATATTGATAGATACAGCAAAAATAACAGACGCTTTTTGTGGTGACAAAGAACCAATTGCCATTGCAGATATAGAAGCAGTCAATGCATAGAAGGTTAGGTCACACAGGTTGCCTTGACTTCAATTGCTTCACGCTAAAATTTAGAGCGCAGAGCCAAGGGGAATGCCGCTATATTCTAGCGGCCGGCGTGCGACTTGCAGAAAGGTCGTCCGTTCTTAGCGTAGAAGCTCTTGCCCTCGAGGTTGGACTTGCACACCTGGCAGGATGGCAACACCACTCGTACAGTTAGCGGGAATAGGGAGACATAAAAACGAATAATCAGAGAAAACGAGGGAGAATTCCAACACGAATAGAGAATTTGATGAGAGGGAAACAATAGAGGGAGCAAAGGGATGAAGGGTGACACGTGTGAATGCGGGACAGCTCCAATACCTGAATGAGTTTTCTGTTTAATATAAAAAGATGAAATCAAAGCCAAAGTGACAAGAAATGGCTTCGCAGACGACGAATTATCACGCAAAATCACGATGTGTGGAATTTTTATTTTCATAACATTTCATACATAATTCTCTACGTCATTCACATTAACCGTAGTAGCTAAAAAAATGACCTCGGTTATTGATACGAATTAAAAGGAATATGATACGATTTACTTTGATACGCTTCTAGATTAGTTGTTTGAGCTAGTCTTGTTAGTCTCAAATAATTAGCTCAACTTTAGCTAGCTTTGCAAGATTGTGGCTAACTTCAAGCTCCGATCTATCCTCCTGGATGTTCATTTGCAAAATGATCATTTTGGCTCTAACTGAACAATAAATTAAGAATTTGAAAAAAATTGGTTATGATTTAACGGAGGAATATTGAGTACGAGTCTCATGAAATAGTGAACAGAAGAATAAAACCTAACAATTGTTAAAAAATAAAAAATATATCACAAAAAAATGGTCAATAAACGAAGTGTTGTGTTGTACGAGTCTCACAAAGTTATAAGTAAAAGGATAAAATCTGACTCATGTTAAGTAAATATTAGACAAAATGGTAGAGTATTCATGAGGAAATAATTAAAATCAATGCAAACATTCAAATGCAACATGCAATTTACATATATTTAAGTCTAGCTGTAGTCAGCAATATCAAATTAAAACCCAAAGAAATGTTCAGCTTAAATTCAGTTTAAATGGGGCTGCGTGCATATCAAGGGTGGAAAGTAGTATGCGGTTCACGTCAAAACTAACGCCAAGTCATGATCATCCTATGGAACTTTGAATTACGTAACAAATAAAATAGTTATTTGAAAAATTGCACTGTGAAGCTAGCATTTATTTCGGAATAGTGTTTTAATAATATGTGTTTAAAGAGGAGAGTGTGAATTAATTGATAAGACACAAGCACAAATGAACGCCACGGATCGACTAGACAGGTTATATGCGCCCCCAAAACTCAAATCAATTTTGAAACTAAACGCTGATGAGAAAAGAGAACTCGGTAATTTCTAAATTGTCCCTTTGGAAATGATTGAGAATATTTGTGGATAACGGTTCATCCGTTTACTGTTGGAAAAACGATAGCCGGCCATAAGCAAACATGTTCATAGATATGTTAGAGCAACGGAATGAAGCTCATGTCACAAAACTATGTCGAATGTTTGGATTATGTAAAAAACGTCAAACTTTAATAGAGTATTAAATCAGCTCTTTAGTCCCTACATTCGTGGCATGAGTATCCATTTCTGATTTCAATTATGTATACAAGGGATATAAAATCAATGAAAAAAAACAGGAATTTGACAGTTCGGGACACAGAAGCAAAAAATAATGATCCGTGAATGAGAGTAGCGAGGAAGTAGCTGGTAATTACCGAGCACTTGAAGCACTGGCTGTGGTAGTTGTTGTTGAGAGCCTCCACCCAGCGGTCGCCTGCCTCTATGGGGAAGCCACAGCCCACGCACTTGGTCGTGAACAAGTCGTTCCAGTCTGTACAGCACATAAATATTAGGTCTGGGAACAGCCTCATATTAAATGACAGTCTTATGAATTTACGAGCATGTTCTGAATTAAAGAGACCTGATCTGAATTAAAGAGACTCTTCTGGATTAAAGGGCCTATTTTCAATTTATGATCCTGTTCTAAATTAAGTAAACCCGAGTGGTAGGGAAAATTCTAGCATTTCTAGAATCCATGACGAGCCAGACATGGCCTATCATCATTGCTGACACAACTATTGAAATACTCTTATACTTTGTTGGTTCAATGTAGCATAACGAATTTTGGAAGGTCGATTCCATTTGAAAAAAGAAACTAGAAAGTCGATATAGATTTTTGCTTTGTCAGAGGATATAGTGGTTAGTGAAACAGGCCATGGGCCTATTTCTTCAGTGCCGACACTTCTATTCTTTAGTCTCACCGGTCTCGCAGTACGGCAGTCCATCCTCAAGGTAGAAGGCTCCTGAACCGAAGACCTTGCCACAGTATGTGCAGCAGAAACATTCAGGATGGAACTGCTTGCCAACAGCGTTCAAACAGTCCTGCAACCGACATGAGTTGTAGATAACCAACACATCGAACCAATATTGCAATGAATTGTGATATCCAAAACAACACGTAAAGCAACCCGTTTAGCCGAATGATGGTATTGTTAATAGCCAACCTTAAATATAATTAGCATTAACGACGGTCGATGTCACAGCATAAAAAAGAGTTAACGTACCCCCTTGATGCGCTTGTCACACTTGCCGCAGGTTGGGGCAAGGAATTTCTCGTAGCAGTCCTCGCAGTAGAGGTTACCTTGCTCCTCCACGAAGCCTACGTCGATGAGTGGCTTGCGGCAAGAATCCGTGGCGCAGTGGAAGTGGTCAGGGCACCAGTTCTTGCCGAGGGCGGTCACGAACGGACCTCTGAGATAACGTAAGTCAGAACCATACATTTTTTGTGTAGAATTAGTGTGTTGTTGTCGTTATAACGCACGCATAGAACCAAGAATTTAAATTAAACAATTCATACTAGTGTAGATACGGTTTAGAGGGCTAGAATTACGCGCATGATCCGTGATTGATAGTGGCGATGCTAATGATGATTTAAATTTGCACAAAAAAATGATATTCAGAAACAATATTTGTTATAGAGAAGGTTATGCTTCTATTCATTTTTTTCAAACGTATAGAAATTAATAGATTGAATATATTTCATAATAAGAACTTAAGCTCACTATGAGCGCCCTAGTGCACACATTTCAGACTAGCAACAGAATCGAGCACTTAAAACTCAAAATATAGACACGAATATTAAGATTACTCGACGACGTCTTCACCAACAATTTTTTCACATATTTTTCTAACATATTATGTGCAATCTTACGGAAAACAGTACTAAAGTATCGGAAAGTATTTCAAAATGCGTCGTTTATGAAACATTTGTAAATCACTACTTGAGCTGATCATATTGTGCATCATTACAATAAATATTATTATCTGGCCCAGACAAGAAGCGTGTTGCTACACAACATTGATATACCCGAACATAATATCAAGCACGATACAGGCCCAACATGTTATAGCAAAACGCAAACACACACAGCAACACGTCAAAATCATTTGAAATTGTGAAGAAAAAGACATGCTTTGAATTTAGCGTTTTAATAGAACCAGAACACAGATAGGAATATTTTACACGCACGAACTGTACGCCAATTAAGCAGCACGATTTATTAGGACGAACAAACGTGCATGTCAGAACTGATAATTAAAGGTAACGACGTTACCATTATTTTTGTTATCGTAATGTATGTATTCAACTTCCTTGTAGAGAATTAGCATTGCCAAGATGACGAGAAAATTTTAGTTTTCGTCTTCTAGATCAGAGAGTTTACGCACGATTTCATAGGCTGACTTAAAGCGCACAATGCGCGACTTCTACAGTGGCGATATAAGTAGCCCTTATAATCATCAGGAAAGTGCGACTTCTATAGTGGCGATCTAAGTAGTTATAATAATCATCAGGAAAGTGTCATGAAATGGAGAGCTCGTAACATTGATGAACGCATGAAGAAAACTAGAGGTGCTTGCCAGCCCATCTGTCATGCCTACTGCCAAACAGACAAGACTTGTCAGGCGGGCGCCTGACAAACAAACAGACAAGACTTGTCAGGAGAGATTATCAGCGATCTAAGTCTTCTGATATGAAATAAAGTAAGCATCTAATATACTAAGATATCAGATGAAGCACGTAATTTATCAAGGAAAGTTTTTATTTAAATAATTATATAATGAATAAATAGTTTCTAATTTGGCAATCTTACATTTAATGTCAACTTTGCAAATTGGCGTCTTGATATTTACGTATAGCGTCAATGGGACTACAATAGATAATTGAAATATGAACGTGATATTAATAGTTAAATCACCTCTGCAACTTAGAAAAAACTTCTTTTTTTATTACCTAGATCTTTCATTCTGAGGCTGAAAAGTCACAATTCACGATCGAAAAGCGCTGTATAGAGGTGTCACTGTGCAGGATTGACATGAAGCTCACTAAAAATATTTTCAGAATTGCTAGATTTTTTCCAAAGAGTCTATTAAAAATAATAATATAATATAGCGGTTTCAGTGTTTATTAGGCCGTAGGCCTGTCGCCAATTCTTAACATCGCAGAATATTCACAGCGTGTTGCGGTCTCGAACTCACAACTCACTGCTCCAAATTCTGCTATGCTCTAACCGCCCGGCCTCCTCGCCGATTCTGACCAGAAACTGCCGAACGGAGCTGGGACCATACTTTCAAAACTCGCCAAGTGAACGTAAGTACTTATGCTCTGTTTTCTTGTCTATGATTGGTGGATTTTGCTTGCCTGGCCGTCAATGATTGGCTGATGGACTTACGATCTCTTAACTTTTTTTGAAAGTTGGGCTGGGATGTAACCCGCGCCTCTCTACGCCAATCTTTACACTCTGAACTGTAACCATTGTGTCACTGTGCAGGATTGACATGAAGCTCACTAAAAATATTTTCAGAATCGCTAAAGATTTTTTCCTAAAAGTCTATTAAAAATAATAATATAATACAGCGGTTTCAGCATTTATTAAACCGTAGGCCTGTCGCCAATTCTTAACATCGCAGAACATTCACAGCTTGTTGCGATCTCGAACTCACAACTCACTGCTACAATTCTGCTGTGCTCTAACCGCCCGGCCTCCTCGCCGATTCTGATCAGAAACTGCCGAACGGAGCTGGGATTGAACCCGCGCCTCTCTACGCCAATCTTGACACTCTGAACTGTAACCATTGGGCTACTCTGACAAATTACGTTGATTTACAGGAGAGAAATATCAAGATATAAAGAAGAGGTTCACGTACCTGATGACCTTACGACACACGCAGCACAGAGGCGCCTCTGGACCATAGCTGAGGCCGGCCACCCTGCGGTCTGTGAGGTTAGTGGACAGGGGAGGGAGTTAGTGGGTACGCACTGTACTCTCTAGTTACAGTTATTAGTTACCTGCACAGTCGTCCTATGTAGATACCTCCACAGTCGTCCCATGTATATACCTCCATAGTTACCTTGATCAGTTTCCTCCATTGTCCTCAGCACTACCTATAGTAGTTGCCATCTGCAGTTGTCAGTCGGAGTGTTTTAGATCGAAGCTCATTGCACACTGATGGTATGATGATTAATAATTATCTAGGTTAATATCAGTTCTCGCTGGTAGTTATCAACAATTAGATTAATTGATTAAAAATAAACGCCGTACAACGATCACGGTTGCGTGTCCTGATGCTGTACAATACGAATTTGGTTACAACGAAGCTGCGCTACACCCACAAACTCCGCAACTAATGCAAAGAAATCTACATCAGTCAAGTGATGTATAATAAATTGAGCAAGTCGACACAAGAAATAGAGACGACACTCAAAAATGGTTAGATATAAAACGGACAAATGTAAATCTGGCACAAGAAGTGAATGAAATAGAAACTCGTTACAAATTTGAATATTAACAAAGAAATTAAGAGAATCATTAAAAATAATACCGAAAATTCGAGATTTTACAAAAAACACACATGTAAAAATAATGAAAAAGACACAAAAATTGCACAAACAGAAGCAAAAACGAAAGTAAAATCAAGATAATAGGTTCGTGAAGTTTATAGAGAAATATAAGAAAATAAGTACGAATAAGAAGTAATAATAAATGAAACTATCAAAAGTGTGACAACTTTCAACTCAATATTATGAAATAATTGGAAAAAAGGCATGAAAATAATACGGAAAAAATACGTCGCCGGAAAATCGGTATAATGTACAAAAGGAAGAACAGAGTTATACGGTAAGGTTTAAGGGACACGGTATAAAAATGACGAACACAGATAAACATGTCAATTCAGGTTCAAAGAGGTCATGACATACAAGTTGATTTATACAAGAAATACATAAGTTTGTTAGTACGCAATGTGTGCGAAAACTAAGCCATATCTAAACAAGTCAACGAACTCCATTATACAACAGCGTGCATTAGCGGATGTAATGAAAGTTGAATTTTACCCAGTAAAATCTTTCGTAACTTTTTAAATTGACTAAAAACCGCGAGCTTTATTGCGCCGAGGAATTAGGTTCTCCGCCCAGCTGCGTCGTCGACAACCTCAATGCGATTTGTGAGGCGGAATGTTACTCTCCGGCTGACAAATACGGTTCATGAATCCTAATAGATACTAGGCATTGGACCATAAGAAGACCTTTGAGTTTCAATGAAAAAAAAAAATGTTTTAAATTTTTAAATCACCAAAAAAGTTATCCGAGGTGAAAATTTTTAACCTGTAAGTGTATGCGACACATTCAAATAAATTAAAGGTGATTCAACTGGATCGAACTTTTTAAGATCGTATTTAGTAGTTTTGTCGACGACACAGCCGTTGCAGAACATGAGATCGCACGCACGCATCCACTACCTGATCTGGCGCTGGCAGCTAGCGCAGATGGGTATCCTGGACGCGGCCGCAGGGTTCATTATACCGCGGCCCCTCTTGGGCGCCGTGCGCTCGCCTGGGATGCCCTTGGTGGGGGGACCACCAACACCCGGAGGCTTGGTAGGTCCGCCCATGCCTGGCGGAGGTGCGGGCTTTGGCATTCCACCGCCAAACATTGGGGCCGGAGCCGGGGCAAAAGATGGAGCCGGAGCAAATGCAGGAGCCGGGGCAAAAGCAGGAGCCGGAGCTGGTTTTGGTGCCGAGGGAGCTGGAGCAGGAGCAGCCGCGGGCTTCGGAGCGATGAATGATGGAGCTGGAGCTGGAGCTGGAGCTGGAGCCGCAGCTGGCTTTGGAGCGATGAAAGATGGAGCCGGAGCTGGACCTGTAGGTTTGGCGGGTAGGGAGGAGGCGGCTGGTTTAGGTTCAACCTTGGGAGCCGATTTAGGGGCGATCTTAGGAGCAGCTGCTGGAGCAGACACGGTAATAGGAGCAAAAGGAGCAGGCGGAACAGCGAAAGGCAGTTCAGACACTTTAATGGGAGCAGGAGGAGTTAATGGAGTTTTAGGAGTAGGTCCGGGTGCAGGTGAGGGGGCAGCCTGCTGTCCAGCAGAGCCGAACTTAACAGGTTTGAAGCCGACGTAAGGCGAGGCCTTTTTAACAGCAGCCACGGGAGCTTTAACAGACTTGACACCAGGGATTGAAGCAGATTTCTTGATGCCTCCGAGGAGGGAAGAAACTTCAGCTGGTGAAGAAGCACCAGCTGAAGGAGCCCCAGACAATTGCTGAGAGGGTACAGTTTTAGGCGCAATGGCCCCTTGCGCAGCTTTAGTAATGGGTACAATTTTAGGGGGGCTAATAGGACCTTTCATTAGGTTTTTCTTTCCCTCCGCGGCGGCAGCAAGAGCTTGCACACCAACGAACTCAGTTCCTGACGATGAAGCAATGGATTTTGATTTAGTTTCGACTGTCGTTTTCTGTACGAAAGACTCCTGGTGTTGCACGGATGTGGTCGACTGATGAATAGTCTGTGTGACGGTTTTTTGCTGCTGCTGTTGTTGGCTAGTGGAAAAGCTAACCGCGGATTTCACCATGCTATCGTAGTCTTTCGGAGGAGGAGGAGTAGGGAGAAGAGGGATCGTTTTGGGAGGAGGCCCCTCGGGTTTCACAGGCAGGGGGACCTTGAGAGCCTCTCCAACCGGGGCCCATGAAGGGGTCGTGTGCCCCGAGGTGCCCTCTTCTGACTGCGCCCGTCGGGGAGGCCACACAAATCTATTTGCTGTGGGCCCAACCCGATCAAGATCACGGAACAACGCATTCGGTCCATTACAAGTATCGTTATCAATAAACGGAACGTCGATCAATCGTTATGACACGAGATGAAAAGAATAATTGCAAAGAAATTAATCCACCGATATTAGAATAAAAGATCAAAACATCGGCGGAAATTGGTATTTGTTTATTAGTTCAGATGATGATCGAAATTGTCAGTAAAAACGCAACATGAATCAATCGTCACCAGACAAGCACGAGACGTGTCATCAGATGCGAATATTAATCAGTGGTTAAAGAGGTAGAAGCGGCGACATCAACAGAAACGATTTCAGGGAGAGGAACAAGAGGCAGGCGGCAGGGATGGAAAAGTGTCAAGACCAAGAAGGAAATGAAGATCCGTGGACAGAAAATAGAGTACGATAGTAGTCAGCAAAGAGTGCGCAAAAGCAACAAGAATAGAATGCAATTGTCATGAGTAAAGCATAGTACAATTTATTAAAACTCAAGTTGTACCAAATGTCCGAGCAAATTTACCGTCAGCATTGATAAGGGACAGATTAGCAAGACGTCAGCATTGACATTAAGGAAAGATTAGAAAGACGAGTGATTCAATTATAAAATAGCAGAATTTCGAGAATTTAGATCAGAAAATGTCACGCACATACATAGCAAGTGAACGATGAACCAATGAAAAACGTTTACGGATTAGTAACCGTAGAAGGCAGCAGCGATCAGTAAACAGGGATGCAAGGGAATGCAGAGAACGGAGGAGAAGGAAAGAGAAGGAGAGGAAAAAGAAAAAGATTGACTAATTAGTGCAGCAGACTTTGCATTGGATAGATCGTAGCATAGATCAGCAGATGAAATATTTGTGGGAGAGCGGGATGGTTGTCAACTGGATACGCCTGGCAAATGTATGGCAAAAACCCATAACGGTAAAAGACCCTCGTTTTTCGGTCTATTTGTTCCTGTATAAAAATTTTCATCAGTAAATCAAATATAGACGAGACCCGTTTGTGGAACTTCGGTGGAAGCAACACAAGCTTTGCAGAATAATTAACGAACGTTCATCTATTGTAAAAATGAATCCAGAATAGATATCAGTAGAACTTACTGCTCTCTGAACAAATAATATCTCAACATAAATAATGGAGGATCATTATGAAATTCCTTTCAACATCATTTGTACAGAAATAAAATGGGAAATTTGATCAAATTCAAAGGACGGAGAGTCGGTTATGAGCAAGTTATTGAGGAGCCTGAGCATCGTTCACGACAGGCTTACAGACATGCAATGATACGAACAACATTTGTCAGCAAGAAAAGGCAGGGCCGTTACGGCCTTTGCTTTGGTTCGTGGAAGGGAGGAAAGTGGACAAGAGCGGATGCAGTTTCTGAACCGGAGGGAGGTTGAGAGATGAAGTATCTTCAGAAATAAAGTGCACCATAATATTATGTGCCCTAATAGTTTCCGACGCTCATACTTATTGCAGAATGGTATTCTTTCATGAAAATGTGCATTTTCTATACAATTTATACATTTGGACATGTAAGAAGAGAAGAATATAGGGAAAGGGTACTGGGTGAGGAGTACTGAAGACTAGATAACATGGTGAACCAACAGCAGTGTAACTTGATGACTTGATGCATCAGGTAACATCAGCGCTCATGAACTCCGTACGCTCATCAAAACGCAGCTACATGCGTATAATAGAATTTTGTTCGGCTTGAATTTCCATATCAGGATAATATAATATGTTTATCAGACACAGTGTTACACTTGAAAAAAAAATTCACTGGAAATTTATCTATTTCTTTCAGGGTAAATAACTAATTTGTGCTTAGAAGCGCAACTTTGGACGTAGCAATTAGCAGACGTCTGCATTGAGTTCAGTAAATGAGCGAGTCATTCATCTTTTGTTCATTATTTTTGGTAAACCAAAAAAAAATATGGTGAACTTATGCTAAACGACGCGGGCTGAATGGTCCGATAAAATGAAAATCCACTTCCAACAAACTTGACGTAAATGACAAATTCAGAGACAAGAATTGCTTAGTCTACACCATAAAAAAGATCAAATATTTCGTTATTATAATACAATGTTTTTAATATCTAAAAGATCAAAGGACACAGTAAGATCCACTTAAGTAGCAGGTGAACGGAACAGTATTTAGTGAACAGAATCATTTGAACAGCAGATAAACAGCATAATTTGGGACAGCACATTCAAGGCTTTGTAAAAATATATGAGATAGCAACAAAACAAATTTTTCAGCAAATATGTTCGCAAAGAGAATAGAAATGACGATACGATCAGAACAACGAGTAAGTTCTCGTGTTGAAGTGAACTTAACTTGGACTGAATATATATACTGCCCGTGAGTACATTTATGTGTTACACGTAATGAATTGTCAATGTAAAAAAATAATAATATGGATCTCCGGATTAACGGAGTTGGTATCCAGGCATCCGCACACGACAATCTCATGACCAAACTGAATGTCTATGGAGTTTATACGACATCATACCCAAGAACACGTTGCACCAAAACACGGTTTATAAAAGAGGTTGATCATAAAACTTTGAAATGAAACTGTCGTGTGTGGATGTCTTTATATAGGAACTTGGTCAAGGTTGAGGATAGGATATGAAGGTAAATCAAATCAAATTTTCCTACAAGGAGAGCAAACGCTGCACGGGCTGGAAAAGTCTTGCATGAAAGAAAAGCGAAGAAGCCGTGAGGGCCAGAAAGTACAGGAGTTAGAGCTCCACCTGCTTCAAAACAACGTACTCAAAAAATCACTAATAATTTATTAGTTTTTGCAAAATATATGGTATTCCGTATACAGCAATGAAATTTCAGTGGAACAGATATCTGTGTATCTTCAAATAATTTTCTACCTTCATCTTGTCCACTTGACCGAGCAATTTTAACACACGCAAGGTAAAATGACGTCGTAAAAAACGTACAAATTCATTTACCATTCTTCAACCGTTCATAAATTCAATCAAGAACGTAGAAACTCGACTACGAAAGACATCTCAATCTCAGGACAGTGACAATTTGCATTACTTCTCCTATAAAGAAAAATTTTAATATTTAAAGCCATATCTACTACTAAAGAATGCGCTTCTTAAAATAATCTAAAGCACTTGATGTCTCGTTAAGTTGACACCAAATCTGTTTCCAAATCAAGAAAACACAATTATCAAATCCGTGGACGAAAAATGTTTAAGCTTCCGTTTATCGCAAACGAGCTAAGGTAACAAACTGTAATAAGCTAATGTCATAATTAGTTCGGTGCGTACAGCAACGCGTTCCGTGATTAAAAACTCAAATTTGAGAAACAAGTTCAAGAGCAGCGTGATCCAATTACTGCACGAGCATATGATATGAATGCATTTTTCAATCAAGAAGATGCAAATTTTGATAGGGAAAGAAGGCATTAAACTCGGAAAAAATTAAAAAAAAACTGAGTAATGCAGCTGAAAAACTTGTTGAAATATAAAAATACTAATACAAATAACTAAATAAATCCTGATAATCCAATGGAATAATTGAGGGTGAGAGAGTAGAAAGAGGACGCGAACTTCCCTCACCTGCGACGGTGCGTGTAGCTACAAGACTGAGGGAGTGCGAGACAGCAAACGCAAAAAAACGAAAATATGATATGGAATTTTTTTTGGGACATTCGTTTCACTGATGACAGTGAACGATAGGTAATGATGAGGGCTACTAAAAAAACATGAACAAATCAAAAATGCAGAATAAAACGTCAGAAATGAATTTGATGTGATTTGCAACTGTATATATCAAGAATATTAAACAATGTGAGACACGATTCAAGACCTACGCGGTAGAGGGAATTGCTAAAGTAAGTACAATGAACAATTAGATTGGAAGTACAATACATAAACTGAGGAACGGGACGTCGGATTAGGGAGATGCGCCCTTGAGGACGCGTCATGCGTATGGTAATCTACAAGTACCGGGCGTGTGGCCAAGTAACACATTAGTAACGAGGCTTCCCTGTGCGGCTATACTTAGCATGGAGCCTTCAAGCCAGCCAGTCGTAATGGGGTGAGTACCTGTACAGATACGACACTTGACTTCTACCCATAACGCAACTTGACTTCTACCCATAACGCAACTTGACTTCTACCCATAAGGCAACTTGACTTCATCTCATTCCGACGCTTGACTTTACCAGTCGCTCATCGCAATCAAGATAAAAAAAAAACACAGAATATAGCGCTCATTTTCCCGGAAGATATTAGCGTTAACTCGGATTATTCAATTTTTGGATTAACTATTTTTTGCAAACTGNTTCCCGGCAGAGATTAGCGTTAACTCGGATTATTCAATTCTTTGATTAACTATTTTTTTTGCAAATTGACGTTACTTAGAGTACGAATTAAATAGGGCCACGTTTCAATCTCCTACGTTCGCAGTTTGGAAACAAACTCGAAATTACTCGTACATTAAGGGCATTCGAATAATAATATGAATAAGGATCAGGAATGCTAAAAATGAAAGAAACACGGTAGCCGAAATATTGAAAACATGGCAATGAGTGAAAGGTGCCCACCTTTCTTGGGGATGTGGGCCCGGACGTTGATGCCTCCCGACGGGGCGCCGAAGGCTGCGGGATTGGCCGAGGAGCCTCCAGGGGCAACGGAAGGTTGGGAGGAGGTGGGGGCAGGGGATAAGGAAGAGGCCAGCTGTAATGAAGAACAAACCAAGTTAGTCTCGTCAAGCGAAGAGAAATGATATTCCAAAGGCCAGCGACGGCCGCTATTAGGCGAGGCATGAGGATGTGGTGAAGTTTCGACATGATCGGAGCAAGATGAGATGCCGCAGAGATACGAATTGTGAGGTAAACACCGTGCAAAATAACAGTAATGAACACGATCTTCGATAGCAATCGTGATCATAGTTCAGTGACCTATAATAACCGTCGCGGAAACAACGACCACGATCATTAATGTGATCATGCTCGCAATTTCGGCAACCGGCCAAGTAAGTCAATAAAATTATGACCATGACCGCCCATAGCGAGATACACAAGCGAGATAAATCTAAGGTACTATGCGCCTCAAACGAACTTTGTCATGCGCCTACCTGAGGCATGTACACTGGCATCTCGAATGGCAATGTTCCCACCCCCGAGGAAATCGGTGGTGCAGGTTTTTGTACTGAGGGTGGGAGCTGCTGTGGTTCCGAAGATTCCTCAACAGAGCAAACTGCCTCTGGCTCTTCTTCGGGAATAGACTTCGCAACAGAAACACGAAACTCGGGTTCGACTTCAGCTACGGGCTCTGATTCTACAGAGTATGGTTCAGATTCAGCACGAACAACCGATTCAGGTTCAACCGGTTCTTCCGTCTCCGTTTTTAGATCAGATTCTGGCTGAGCAGCAACTTCCTGTATAGCTTCTGGAGCATTTTGGGCCGTCTCAGTTGGCTGTTCTTCCTTAAGTTCCACTGCCTCATCAACACGAGGCCCAGCATCTTCAGTGACAGACTCTTCTTCTATAACATTTTCATTATTTACCGATTCTTGTGCTTGATCCACTGAATCTTCGGTATCGTGTACAGCATTTTGAGTTTGCTGTGGTTCCTCGTTTCTCGCTTCCGAAAGGTCACCACTTTCGCTAGGCTGATCATCACCTATTTCGGTGCCGCTAGTCTTGGTTTCAGGAGCAACAGTTTCTAACGAGGTTTCTTCTCCATTAACAAGTACTGATTCAGCAATGGCTTGAGCTTGGACTTCAGATTCCGGAACCACAGCAGCATCCGAAGGTCTTTCAGGCAGAACCGTTGTTTCTTGAGGGACTTCCTCACCAGTAGCCTGGTTGTCTTGTGGTTCCTGTTAATGCATCACACCACCGCAGTTTTACAAACAGCCAGAGCAGACTTTGGTTCACACACACAGAAAAAGTACCATTACTCATGCACGCTCACTGTTCTTTTCGTCTCATCGGAGATTTTAATATCAGTTCACGTGATAAACTTCTTAAGTAACTCAGGCATTTCACGAAGCGATCAATCAACGAAGATCAGACGAGGTGCAATTCCAGCACGTTGTTGGCTTATATTTAAGGCCACTTCACGATCGTGACAACTTTACCGACTGTAAAGAATAGGAATTCAATAGCAAAAACTAACGGTAAAATGAACTCGAAAAAGTAACAAAAGGAAATGAGACAAAAAAATTTAGTGCGTGCGAAAGTAAAAGTAATTCGACCAAAAACGATATAAATAAATTTTTGCACTTACCTGATGATCTACTGGTACGGTTGTCTTATTACGACTACATGAAGCCTTCACTAACTCAGCAATTACTCACGTATACGTCGCGCCTGAGGCTATCGAGCTTACACGGTAGAACCAAATGTTTACGTAGAGAAAATTCGTTGGAAATAGTATAATAGTGTAGAAATTTCATACGTAGCGGAAAACGAGAAATTTAGCCAACTTTTCAATCGATGAACTTAGGCGATGACATTAAATTTCGACCAGGTATAAATATGAGATACTTTCTCTGCTCTCTTTCCTGGTGTGAAAATATATATAACTTTTCGCAGCCCATGTCACAGTTAATTCAGCAGTAAAAAAATGAGAAAGTCCTGAACACGGTCCAGAAAATGTGTCATCTTAATTAAACATATCACATGAGAACGAAACCCGCTTGTTGGTAGAATATTAACGTTGTCAAAAATTACGAGAGTGTGTCTAAAATCATGAATTCAAGTAATTGGTAGCGAATGTCGAAGGTAAAACTTTTGATTTCTTTAACTACGAAATTTCTGAGGGAAAATGGACTGTTAAAGCTGCAACACGAGAGTGTTCGGCGCGCCTAAACACGACAACTACGCCTTCGATACCTCAGGCGGCGGCTGTTCAGGCGCAGGCGAAGGCGCTGATCTGACTTCTTCGGCAACGGGAGCTGGTGCTTCGACAGGCGCGGGCTGCAAAGCGTTACAAAAGGAGATAGAATTCAACAGAAATAAAGGAGATAGAATTCAACAGAAATAAAGGAGATAGAATTCAACAGAAATAACCAAACAGAGAAAAAAACAGGAAGGATCGTTATCAAGCGAGGCTTCTTAGTTATCGTGGAAAGTTGTAGTATTCAAGAGGTTTATTTCTTCCGATTTACACTGATGAATATCAGATTTTGTAAAAACATGCAATAAAATATCACATGAGAGTTTTGTATCCAAGATTAGATTATTTCTCGGCGAAAATAATTCGAAACCTCACAATTGAACGGGATTTGGAAAGAATATCCAAACATTTATTTCGAATAAACCGAAGGAGTTATTTCAGATTACACATTCCCACAATAGCAAGGAACCTCGCAAGCAGTAACGACAGATTGAGTGTCACACTAAGCTGACATGTCATTGTGATTACCAGGAGCCAGGGAGCAAAATAAAATTGTGCTTGCAACATAAATGAGATCAATTTGAAAACAAACGTTTGAGAAGCCGAGTACCGTCGAGGCATCCAAAGCCGACAGAAGAGCGACGAATAAGAAAGATATGAAGGCGGTACTTGCGTTCAAGAGAACTTAACCACTTACGTATAGGTACCATATACCATAGTAACCACTTACGTATACGTTTCATGCCTGTATAGACAGGCATGCAACTGCGAACACGAAATAATAGAAAAATGCGAAAGTAAAGTAGCCAATATTGGTGACAATAAGCAAAATAACGATAAAAATAAAGGCACTAACTTTTGTACACACAATTTACAAGGAGTTCGTTTGGTTGTTGTGTATATGCTTGAACTGACGAAAGTCAATAAATTCAAAAATTTAAAACAGTGCTGGATGACTAGGACTTGTTCCAAATTTCTGTTTTTTGGTCGTTATACCTTTGTTTCGCTATATGAATATAGGTCAGGATTTTTGGAATGTTTTCAATATATCACAGCGCTAAAAATATTTCACATTCATGGGGTATAATAACCTTTTCCTCACATGCATGAAGGAAATCTTAGTTCTTCATAGTAGAGTATAGCTAGCACGATACACGTTCCACTCCATGCAAGGAAAGCAAAATGTTGAAGAAGTTCAGAAACGTCATTTTTCATGCATTAAAAATCTGCGTCCGAATTCTGAAGCATCGACGTTCTTGTATTCGCCGAGACCATTGACATTGGTAAGCGATGTGCTGCTTTCCTTACTGAATCCCTCCTAGAAAAACGAAACTGCTACTAAATTTCGGCCTTAAGCAACTAACTAGTACTTGGTTTCACGATTCTCACCATTCCTAAGAAATTGAAGAACTCATGAAACTTGTTCATAAAATTAGGTCCACGTAGCGAGGGTTATCATAAGAGAATCTTACGTTGAAACATGCAAACTACGTTTCACTTCCACACCCAAAACTTCCACGGCCAAACAAAGATTCTCTGGAAATCAAACGATCCGGGAGCCGAATGCACCGCATGCAATTGTGCGTTTCTCTGTAGAAGAAGATACTACAAGACCCTGGAAAGAAAATTTAATTGAAGGATGAAAGATCGCAGCCAATTCTACAGGAAGGCAGGCCATGCAGGCTCAAGTAATAGCCTAGCTGAAGAGTGAAGAAGAGGCTGCACCTTGTCTGATGCTGCGACCGGTGCAGCAGAGGCGTACGAATCCTGGAATCCGGAATCGTGGAACATCTCCTGCTGCTGGAATATTTGGTGGTGCTGTTGCTGCGTCACACAATGTTGCTCCATCTGCACGTGTTGCACATGTTCATGTTGTTCTACAACATGTCGCTCTTCAGCATGATGTTCTTCTACATGATCATGATATTCGCCCACAGGCCCACGGATATCTCGTTCATGAACAAGCCCGTGGTCGGCATGCTGGTCCTCGAACGGTCGTTGGTCATAAGTTGCCGGAGGGTCACGCAAAGACTGCTCTTGCATGCAGAGCTTGTCGAACGCTTCGTTGAGAAGAGCCGTCGTTTGGTTTTGCTGAAACACACACTGCGCCATCAATCATTGGGTCAATTTTCCTGACTCAGGAAGTCAGGCCGCGCGCTCAAGGCTGCTTCCAGTTTTTAAGTGAAACTACATTATACGCTAATACTTACAGCCAAAAAATGTACACGAATGCGATTTACCTTATCAAATGTCACCAATTTCATGAGCACGAACAAGATAATCCAGTAAGTGATATTTTGCTAAGTGTATGTTTACAACAGGACTCGCGGGAATCACAGTCAAGTTTTCAACAGTAATCATTCAAAACGGATTACTTCTATTTTCCCGCAATCAAATCCGATTTATATTTCCAACTAGTTCCATTCAAGGATGACTTTTACACGCTGTATACAATACCTGGTAACAAATCGGATATTCTTTACCTTGCAATACAATCGAGACAGAAAGGGTTGCAATGTAAATAAAGTCACAGGTTATCAGTCAACTAACATAGTCGACAAACGACGAAGAAGAATTTCAGATCAGAACCGAGACGGAACTAGACGATTTGACGACACTACGTGGCTTGTGGCTTAGGATAACCGAATGCATGAAAAGTGAGTGATAATGATATCGTGAACCGTGACTTAGAAATGGATGATAAGGCTTATAAATTCATTGACATAATCAATCTCGCACAAAAATCTCCTACAAGAATGGTTAGGTTTATAGTAAAAAGACCTTCAACATATCTTGACTAAAAGTTACTCCAAAGCCACTATTTACACAAAATTAAAAAACGCAATTATGTTTATGAAAACCTCCTCACTCACGCTAATATTGTGGTCCAGGTGAAGAAAGAATAAATCACCACAAGATTACATATTTCAGTTATTTGAACATCAATATCTGATATATTTCCTCATGTTACGTGACAAATTGACTAACTACAAAGCGAATGGAAATATTGGTAGGAGTTAGAGAAGATCACGCGACTGGGGTTGGTAACAGGGTACCTTGAAAATGTCATAGATGTTTGAGAAAGATTACGCGACTGGTGTTTGGGACAGGGTATCTTGAAGAGGTCGTAGGAGTATGAGAAAGATCGCGCGACTGGGGTTGGGGGCAGGGTACCGTGAAGAGGTCGTAGGAGTATGAGAAAGATCACGCGACTGGGGTTGGGGGCAGGGTACCGTGGAGAGGTCGTAGCTGTTCGAGAAAGATTACGCGATTGGGGTTGGGTTCAGGGTATCTTGAAGAGGTCGTAGGAGTATGAGAAATATCACGCGACTGGGGTTGGGGGCAGGGTACCGTGAAGAGGTCATATGCGTTAAATAAATATTACGCGACTCGGGTTGTGGCTAGGTTATCTTGAAGAGGTTGTGGAAGTTAGATAAAGATTACGCGACTGGGGTTGGAGACAGGGTAGCTTAAGAAGGTCTTAGATGTTGGAGAAAGGGCACGTGACTGGGTTGGCGACAGTGTAGCTTAAGGTCTTGGGTATTGGAGAAAGATCACGCGACTGGGGTTAGAGACAGGGTAGCTTAAATAGATCTTAGGTGTTGGAGAAAGGTCACGTGACTGGGGTTGGGGACAGGGTGAATTGAAAAGGTCGTATGTGTTAGAGAAAGATCACGCGACTGGGGTTTGTGACAGCGTGTCTTGAAAAGTTCGTAGGAGTTAGAAAAAGATCACGCGACTGGGGTTTGCCGTTTGGGACAGGTTGTCTTGAAAAGGTCGTCGGTGTTAGAGAAAGATCACGCGACTGGGGTTTGGGGGGGGGTACCTTGATGGGGGAGGATATCCCGAAATTAGGAGCAGGTACGATGCGAACGCCTGGGGAGGACGGCTTGTACTGTGTGCAATTGGGAATTCATTAGGGGGAAATTAACGCACTAGCAAAGTGATCCTGATTGCTGAACCTGAGAAGGCTGGAATATTGCCGGAGAAACCAAAAACATAATTCATTTCCAAGTGCAAGTTGATGAAAATTATGAAATTAAAATAGTTGAAGAGAGATCACGTTAACTAGTGGAAAAAATGTTTGGTGAATCATCTAGGGCAAAACAAACGTAATTTTGATTAAAAAAACAAAAATCGAGAGCATGCACGGTGCGTGATTGCGATGCGTGCATAACGTAAAAAATAATAAATAATAGTGTTAAAATAAGGACCATAACTCAAATTACCCTCGCTAATGAACAAAGTTGGATGTGTTCATAAGATCACAAAAAAATGCAATGATGTTAGATGAAAGTAAGAACAAATAAACAGATGACATCGAAAAAGACACTCATTAGTTAACAAAATTAGAAGCTATGCCTAAGGAACAATAGAAAAATTATAAAATGAGATATTGCAGTTTTTCGTTTGTGAATATTGAATGAAAGAAAAGCAGATGAATTAATCATGATTGAAGAACTCAACATGATGTCGATGGTGTCAAAGGCAGCGAATATCATATATTAATAATAACAAGTTCATATATACTCTCATCGGAGGTAATTCTCTTCTGTTTCATAAATTTGACGCAGATTTCCGAAAATTATCTATATTATCTATAACAAAGTGTGAAAAATTTGCGAACAATAAAATAACCAAAGAATGCTAATGAGTAATATGATACACTGCAGTGCATCATCCTGTGGAAAAGGAAGTATGTATGCACTTTGTGTCGAAGAGAGCGGGGCTATAAAGCAAAAGCTGTATAGAAGAGGATCTACATTGCCATTTATAAATAAAGCATTTTTACTGAAGACGAGCTATGATACGAGACATAAAAGTTCATCTTTCTGTGCATTATATAGGGCGTTTTAATAATTTCTTCAACGATAGAACGTTTCATTTTAATTCTACTCCTCTTTTGTAAAATTTCAGCCTCGCAGAAGAGAAGGATAGGAAAAAGTCTGCATGCAATTTATTCGCGAAACGAATTCAATTTTCTTACACACAACATATTCGCTGTGAAGAATATTTGAATAATTAGACTAGTAATGTCTCACATTTTTTAGTCCATGAGATTTATATTACACTTTAGAACAGTTACTCACATGATTGAGTTTTTCATAGATTCACAAATAGGTAGAAAGTGTACCTTAATTCACAAACATTCAATAATTAACTAACGACTGGCATGATTGACTGGCTACTCATATTGTTAATGAAGTTCTGAAACTCTTGAGTTAATAAAAAACGCAAGGTTAAGGGGCTCTGTTCAAAATATGAGAGTCACCCCTGCTTTTGATACAGAATGGTTTCGGTAAACGCTAAATAGGAGGGGAGGGAAATAGCGATAAAACGAGAGCGCAATTATACAGCTTGTTATGCTGAAGCGCGTTAGCATCTAACTGAATAAAATGCGGGTAAAGAAATAACAAAACTGGATTAAATCAAATTAAAATTATTGCAAGGAGAATTTAAGAACGAAATTGATTGATTGTAATTATTATGTGATAGTAACGAATAAATTCTCTAGTGATCAGCATGCGACCGATAGAAAATAGGACTAATAATAATAATTTTAATTAGTTGAATTGACTCATGATTGAAAATAAACATCCCAAATACTAAGTTTTTTTTCAGAATCAAGTAAATAACATGAACATCGGAAACATCGGAAACACGAACAGATTTTCCTTTTAAAAAATCCACTGAATGAAATTACAATATTCCGATTGGGTTAAAATTGAAGAGTTGGAGGAGTCCATACCGCGGGGGTCTTGGCGGCGGGGGCTTTGGCGACGGGGGCGCTCAAAGCGCCAGCAGGCGGGGCCGCCCCCCTGCGACGCAAAAAATATCATTCGTTAAATATAAATCTCTTTATTCAAGAATATGTCAATAACATCCTGTATATCATTGTATAACATTGAAGAAGATATCTGATGTCGAGGTCAGATTTGTAAGGGGAGCGTCTAGGTGTAAAAACTTTTATTAACGGAATAGGTGACTCTTGGTAGACATGCATATGTATAAAACAGAAATTTAAGACTTTTTTGTTCACGTAAATTTTTCGAAAAAATGAAACAAACGTAAAATTCCTAGAAAACGGCAAAAAGGGAGTACAGTAGAAATCTATCTCCTCCTACGATCTTGAAGCTACAACATCGAGATACATATCATTCGAAGCGTAAAGACCATATCTATCGATTTGTCGTAGCTTTTTTCGAAATTCATATTTTTGTGGGTGGAGAGATTTTTCGTCCGTTTTTCGATTCCCCCTCCCCCTTTTTGCAAGATATAATCTAAACTATAACGAAATTACAAATAAAAAACTAAAACCATTCGCCATATCTTTTCTCTGCGAATCGAACGGTATATCTCTCAATGCTGTAAGTTGAAAATCATAGGAAGAGATAGGTTTTTAGGATTAAAATTTTAACTTTTCAGGAGAGCCAAAAAATTGAAATTTGTGATCATCGAAGGCGTAGGTTTTACTTGCGCTTCGACGGCTGTCGTGAACGAACAAATAACGCACAAACATAAAAAATTTTTTTAATTCTTTCAATTTCAAAACTCGCGAAGCTTGCTGATCTCACAAGCCGCCAAAATAACGAGTTTTATATTTGTTGCGGACCCCAGCAACCAACACTCACGGCTTTCTAGGAAGGACCAATTAACGTTCCCGATATCCTAGCCTTTTTATTAAGGATCCATGTCCCTAATACTAACGGCTCCTTACTTTAGACCTACGTCCAAAAAACACAGTTTTTTGTTTGGAACCTATATCCTGACTACTCACGGCTTAACGGTGTAGGACCTAGATCCCTATACTAGAATAATGACTATGCAAATAGGACCTATGTCCATATTAGGGACCTTTGTCCCTATTAGGGACCTATGTCCCTATTAGGGACCTATGTCCCTATTAGGGACCTATGTCCCTATTAGGGACCTATGTCATTAATAAAAAGGCTTCTTATTATAGACCTACGTTCAAAATAACTCCAGTTTTTTGTTTGGACCTCAAATCCCGAATACTCACGGCTTGACGGTGTAGGGGACCTAGGTCCCTATTACTAGAATAATGACTATTCAAATAGGACCTATGTCCCTCTTAGGAGCCTATGTCCCTAATACTAAAGGCTTTTTATTATAGACCTACGTCCAAAATAATACCCAGTTTATTGTTTGGACCTCAAATCCAGACTACTCACGGCTTGACGGTGTAGGGGACCATGTTGGGGCCAGGAGGGTTGTGCTTGGCCGCCTGCTTAGCGTGTACGTCGCAGTACAGCTTGTCGTTGACGTTGTAGTAACCTGGGACATATTCAACACTTGCGTCGAAAATTTTTGCGTCGAAAATTAACACTATCAGGATGCGTAGAAAAATTGTTTCATCCACTAATAAAATAATTTTGCCAGTTTTCATGGAGGGAAATTCATTTAAATGCAGAGGTAATCATATCATAAAGAATGGAAGTAAAAGATGTCTAATATAATAAACGTACAAATCATCCAGCGTTTTCATCTGTCGGAGCGAATCAAAAGAACTGGTTAGAGAAACCTAAGGATGGAGAGAATTTTTTGAGATGCTGTTTGGCAAAATGTGTAGGATTACAGTCACTCAATTTAGTTTGCAAACGCAATAAGTGCAGGAGTCGAACCTACCGGAACCGTAAAATCTGGAGAAAGAGAGATTACACTTAGTAGAAAATTACTTCCGCAGCGCAAAACTGCAAACTAAAGTCTGGCTGAAGCCCAGAACAAATATCACGAGTTTGAACTCGGAATTATATAGAAAATGATTCAGAAGTGAATAGATATGGGAAGAGAGATGGGGGGAGAGAAGCGTTAGGTAACACAAACTGAAAATCCCAAGTCAGAAAGTCGAGAAGAATAGACATAGGAACAAATTTCAGAAAACAGACGAAATGGGGCAAGGCAATTCAATATAGTAACGCTAAATAAAATTTCAATTTTTTTTAATTAAATTTTTTTTTCTAGGGAGCAAAACACGCGAAGAGTTTAGTCGACAAATGAAAAATCAAACGTGGAGGCTCGCGACAAAAATTTCAAAGCATAAGAACCCAGCACATAAAAATAAGTATTCGAAGTTTACATCAGACACACTCGTAGGCTAACAACGATTTTCGCTGTCCCACCAGCGATATCGAGAAATACACTGAGCTTTCAATGGCTCGAACCCACGACTAGCTCCTCCAATCTCGGTGGCTCTACCAGCGAGCTACAGTTTCTCTACCTACATCACAAGCTCTAGTCACCTATGCGGTAGTTCCGTAGTATCATGACCATTCATTAACTATTCTCAGAGCGAATGTGGTTATGCTGCTTCATGCTTTTACAGTACCTAGAAAACCACGACAACAACCACTCATCATCAGTCATTACCAGCACACACATCAATACGAGGCATGTTTTTTAAGTCACCGTTTTGGAATTAAAAACAAAATACGTGCAAAGATATCGCAATAATTTTATTTTTACATGAAAGCCTGTATCTTAATCTACTTTCAAGTCAGTACCGTTTTGGAATAAAAAAAATACGAGCAAAGATATCGTAATAATTTTATTTTTGCATGAAACTATTTAAAATTTTTAAAATTTCTACCACCGTCATTTGAAGAATCGTCTTACTCTCTGGTAATTTAAATCAACGAATTCTCTGGTCACTAGTTAGTTAGTTTAGTGGCTACATGTTTACTAGCGCTTCAGCTATTTAGCTATCTCGCACCGAAAGTCGTGTTGAACATCACCAAAGAGGTGGAAGGTCTCAATTATCAAAAGTTTCTCAAATCAAAAATAGGTCATCACCTACATGGGGTGGAAGGTCTCAGTTGTCCAGCCCGCTGAAGCTGGCTCGAAAGAAGCAGCGTTAGCATCTCAAAGAGACGAAGTGACAAGGAGGGACAGGTGAAAAGTAACAAAAACGACGACACTCGAACAAGAGGTCGCTTACACGGGACGTCGGCTTCCCGCATGAGAGAGACAGAGAAGGGAAATATAAGGAATCCTACCTACATAATAACTTTACCCCACAACTGAGATCTGCAGTCAGTCACCGCGAGCTCAGCGGTGGGGCGCTCAGGAACAAACCCCCTAGGAGCGCGAAATCCCATAGGACTTCTGACGAGCACAGACACGAGTCAGAAGTCCCCCCTGAGGGGGTCTCTGGTCACTAATCGCACGCGTATAATCTACTTTTCTACATAATTTCCGTGAATATTGAGACACTTGTCATAACGTGGCATCAGTTTTTGAATACCCTCCTGATAAAATTCTGCCGCCTGACTTGTTGACCACTGCATCACATATGACGAGTGCAATGTGATGCATTTGATGCATCAAGTGCAGTGTGGTGCGTCACACTGCATTTGAAGAAACACAAGGGCGGTCGGCGTCTTCAAGACGATAACGAAGTCAAAATATTTGTGATGCAGTGGTTAATAAGTCAGGCGGCAGAATTTTATCAGGAGGGTATTCAAAAATTGGTGCCACGTTATGACAAGTGCCTCAATATTCACGTAAGTTATGTAGAGAAGTAGATTGAGGTACAGGCTTTCATGTAAAAATAAAATTATTGCGATATCTTTGCACGTATTTTTTTAACTCCAAAACGGTACTGACTTAAAAACCATGCCTCGTATATTCGCCATTCCCTATCCATATTCATGCTGTAGGTATCCACAATAGACTTAGGTAACCAACTCACCAACATTCTTGAGGGAACTGCCGCAGGTGTTGCAGCGGAAGCAGTCGGAGTGCAGGTTCTTGTCTCTGATACGGACGAACACACCACTACAGGGGGGGGTACACGCGCAGGTCAGGGTAAATCATGAGTGGCAGAGGAACACCTACAAATCTTATTATTCTATATTTCAAGTGATTATTATTCTATATTTCAAGTGATTGGGAAGAGAGAAAAATGTACCGGAATACGGGACTATGTTTTTTTTCAGTTAATTCTCTATTTATTTTATTAATTCATTAATTACAGTGACTGTATTTTTCTAATTAAATAAGGCACCAATTAACTATTTTTAAATGACAAATTTATAAGAATAAATGTTCCTTGAGTAATATGAAACTAATTCAAGTTTGAAAACAAAATCTAATTCATCGGCTATGTGACAAGTACTCGATGTTGTTTCATTTGCATTATTTTGATAAACTGATAAAGCATTGGTTTGGGGAAGGCTTTGCATTAAAAACCGGTATGAATTTCGCATTTAAACCCGTATTAATTTAAAAACAGAACCACAAACTGAAAAAAGTGAGTCTTATAGAACTTAAAAGTGCAAGAGTAATAAGATGGTTGAATCAAAATAAAAATAATAAATAAATTGAGATCAGTAATTTGAGAGTAACTTAGAGTAACTTGTTCAAGACCGCAAACTCTGCCCCGGCAAGATAATAATGGATATCAGTAAGCTAATATTAAGATCTAAAATTATAAGGCATACAGTCGTTGACACACGAGTGGCCACTGCACTTAACTCGCCGCTCTTCAATAAGAACTGAATAATACTGTTCAAAACAATACAAGTTGTTGCGCTCGATCAACAAATAAATTGCAGCGAAGCTGTTTTCTCAAAGGTCAGGCTCGAATCGGAGTGTAAAATAGTTTCGATTGTGGGGAGACGACTCAAGTGTTGTGACGACCTAATGTGTCATTGACGTTAGAATAAATTATTTCGAGGTAAATTTTGAAGCTTCCAAACATTTTAATTGTCTGAATGATGTGTTTAATTGCACACTTGCAGTAAATACGGCGTTTATTATTTTGATGGGGTGTTGAGCTATTGAATTTATGTAAAAGAACGTATTGTAGGCGATTGAGGATCACGATTAATTAATCACGCCAAGTTTACTGCGTTTAATTTAGTGTATTTGCTTTAACTTACAACAACAGCGCAACTGAGGAAAAGCTTTAGCGTAGTAATGAGGTGACAGTGGATGGTGTCGCGTGAAGGACCCTATATATGGCTTCATTCACACCATACTGCCGGACACGTGCCAGTCACAGTTCAGCCCAATATTCTTTAATGTCCATTATGTCCACAATATTCTTTAATGTCCCAATGTTTTCCTAAAGAACGAAAATTATATGAAAGAAACTTATGCGAGGACTTCGCGCGACCGGACTGAACATGTGAAATTGTGAATGAGTGACTGAAATATGCCCGGCGCGCGCTAGGCATTATGGTGTGATTCAAGTCTAAAACTGCCTTAACCGGATAATTTAGGAAAACCTATAAATAACTGAAATACTCGAACGTTATAAGTAATTAATTGGTGAGCAGGCCGATCACTACTCACACGATGGGCCTGTCACACTGGGCACACACGGTGGCGCCTCCTGGGGCCTCGCCTTCGGGTCTGGGTCTCGTGACTGGGGCCTGTACGCTGCGAACGACTGGACCCGACCCTGGCACAGGGCTCGACACTCCCGACCCTGGCCCTTTACGGCGTAATTATTAAATAAAGAATCGCCCTAAACCACGTGCATTGTATCAGGCCCAGACGAACATTATTGGGCACGGTATGAAGACGCGAGAGGAAAAATTTACAAGTTATGCTCGCCCCCAAGGATGAAAGGAATGCCGGTCCTATAATGGGTAAAAACGTGTTCGTAATATTAGCCCCCTACACCTAGGGACATGTGTACGCGAAATATCGAGCTTAAGTTAAAGGTAGATTCTGTGTAAAGTTATTCAAATGGAATTTGTTTTGTATCTGCAGTTGGGAAATTATTATGAGTAAGAAGAAGTGATTTGTAATTTTTTCAACCGGGGTATGGTTTTTTCGCAGACTGTTTCGGAAATTGGGAGTTGTTGATGGAAATCTAAGGCAGTTTGTCGGTAGTAGTTAAAGTTTTCTCGGAGTAACGAGCTCTGCAGTCTATACGAGTTCGAAGTGAGCTAAGTGCATAGAAGTTCAGCTAATCTATTGGATGACACCTCAGATTAGCTAAAAATATAAGAAAAGGGCTTATATGGGAATAAGAAAAAGTTTCGGAGAAAAGGTGGAGATGGTAGTTTCGATGCAGATGCAGTGAAAAAGCAAGTGAAGGATATATTAAGCAGTGGAGGAACAGTTCTAAGGAATAGGCAATACTTGCGTTTTTCAACCGGGGTATGGTTTTTTCGCAGACTGTTTCGGAAATTGGGAGTTGTTGATGGAAATCTAAGGCAGTTTGTCGGTAGTAGTTAAAGTTTACTCGGAGTAACGAGCTCTGCAGTTTATACGAGTTCGAAGTGAGTTAAGTGCATAGAAGTTCAGCTAATCTATTGGATGGCACCTCAGACTAGCTAAAAATATAAGGAAAGGGCTTATATGGGAATAAGAAAAAGTTTCGGAGAAAAGGTAGAGATGGTAGTTTCGATGCAGATGAAGTGAAAAAAGCAAGTGAAGGTTATATCAAGCAGTGGAGGAACAGTTCTAAGGAATAGGCAATACTTGCGGAGCGAAGCGACGAGAAGCTGTTTGTCGAAGCACGAGTTCCAAAAGAAAAAGATTAGAAGCTCACACACCTCAACAAAATTTGGTCACCTTGATTTGATCTAACCCCCAAAAATTAAAGCCCACCGACTGAAATAAGCAATCGAATTTAATATGCTCGAAATTAAATTATAAGTTATTCTGGTGACATGCAGAAAACAGTTTCCTGAAGCGTCAGGCTCAGTGAGTAGCGCATAAGCAGCCGCATCACCGATACTCATGCAGTGTCTGTATGTTCAGAGCGTACAAAGTGCAAGAAAAAAACTCACACTAACACATGCATAATGAATAGGTTACAAGGAATAATTGTGGGCAGGCCGTGAAGCAATCTTATGAGAGCAAATGTAAGTTCAAAGGAAGGAAACCAAAACCCGGGCCATGTAAATTGTGAAAACCTTGTAATACCTAAAAAAAAGAAACCCCGTCACACATCGCGTGCTTGGACCAATATTAAGAATCAATAACGCTTAAAATTAGTTCTTATTCATAGATACGGCGTGAAAACAGTTAATCCTGTCGAGATATCGATCGATCTTTCCCACGTGCAAATATTATACTACGTCATTCACGATTCACAATCCCAACTCATCAGTACTCGCACAATCACCTCGTCCACCATTACAGAGACAAACCCGCCTTATTTATGTTATTACGCTGCTACTCCCCATAGTGTGAGTTAGTCATCATTATAGATACTTATTGCTATCTGCGATGACATTGCACAATCAGCTCAACAATTGAATGGTTACGAACCGAACTTGAAATTAGCTTCGCACGAGCATTTTGTCAGTCATATATTGGCTCATAGTCGTCATAAGCCAAAACCATAAACCACAATTCCCACCACAAGAAAACACCAGCCTACCCCTACCCACACAAGTCTACCCCTACTAACACAAGTCTACCCCTACTCACACAGATCTACCCCTACTCACACAAGTCTACCACTACTCACACAATGAGTCTACCGCACTCGGCGCAGAGGTTATCGCCAGGTCTGAGCTGATGTCCCTGTGCGCGACCTCCCGCCGATGGTAACACTGCTCAGGTAGTTCGTGTGTCCTAGTACTATTGTTACTAGTGCACCATGTTAGTCGTTTGGTATTGGGTCCAAGTGCTCTTACGTCACTATTGCACCGTGTTATTCGCCCGGTATTGGGGCCTAGTGCTTTTACATTACTAGTGTACAATATATGCGCCTTATATTGTGGTAAATGTGATCAGATAATATTATTCCAAAATTTTACCTTCATAAACGAAGATACATTTACTTTATTGAATATGATTGTACAATTGCACACTTTGTACAAATATTTTGTCTTAATGCCATAAAAGAATTTCATTAAAATATTCTTGATGTAATTGTGATTGAGTCGCTATACGAAAAAGACTTCATGGATTATGAATCTTCAAAGCATTTTACATTGCCAATGCAAGGCACCCATGCAAGATGTTGAGGATATGCAAGAAATAAAGGAGTAACGGTCCTCAGGTGCGTCAAGTGTACCTGACTGCTTGTAGCAAGTGCAAGTGTACCTGTCATGCTTGTCATGACAGGTACACTTGTGACAGGTACATGTTCCGTCAAGTGTACCTGACATGCAAACGGAAACGTCAAAATTCATGCATTATATTCCACAAATATCATCTAAAAAATCAAAACTTCGTATGATAAGCTGAATTCAATAAAATATTTGAAGGTAGTCATAAAATAGGAAAGTTAAGAGGGCTCTTCAAACGAAGTATGGATAAACTAAGTCGCTCAAATTCGAAAGATTCCATTATGGAAGTCACTGGTCTGTATGGAAAAGGATGTAAGTGCCGTCAACAGAAAAAATAACAAAAGCCAAGGAAAATTTGAAATTTCCATGAAGAGTTGACTCACAAGATCTGACTACTTGCAGACTAGCATTGATACCCAAATGCTTTATTTCTAAACAGAATATCAACGAACATACAGAGCCGTCAGAGTCATGTTGCAACTAAGACAAGCAGCGCGAACTAAGGAGGGCAAGGAGTCAGAATATCAATGGAAACATGCACAAGGATAGCAAAGGAAACTCAGAATTGGGGAAAAGAGAAAAGCAGCTTGAAAAGAATCGACGAAATGAGGAGAGGAAATTGTGTGGGTAAAGAATGGGTTTGAAATGCTTCAAACATACGAAATTATGATGCAATAATAGAAAATGATGGTTCCTGCAAGAGATCGATTATTCAGTGGATGAATACACGTTAAATTTCATCGTAAAAAGTAAGACCGACGCGTTGCATCGATGGTCGCCGCTCACTGGGAACTGTAAAAAAAGTTAGAAAGGCAAAATTGCTAAACTGTAAAGAAGAACCTAAATTTTCACTTAACACATTGAATACAGAATAACAAATAGAATTTCAATAAATTTCTAAGCGAATGCTAAGTCCTAATTAAGTCTATTATTTTATTAGTTTACTCCCATTGACTATGCAGAGGTTCGCAAAAATTAAAATCAAATAAATAAATGAGATAGATACACTGCACCAACAATAAAATATCAATTGAAATGTAACACCCAATTGGAATTGGCTTTAATACGTTAGATAATTCAAAATTTAAAGTGAAAGTATGACTATCTACAACAATACACTCGACTACAGAATAAGTGTTAACAATGAATATTGATTTTATCAGACCAATTAAAATTTTTTCAAGAATCCCGAAATAATAAAGTGCCAACTACCAACTGATAACGAAATTTTAAAGAAAACAAAGTATACAAACTTATATGCCCAACTTTCTACAATTTTCTAGGTTTTATAATTGGAATTTCACCGGATATGCAAATTTAGCGTGTTAATATTCCGATCAATTCGTGATCCAGAGGAAGCGATCAAGGCGACTAAAGTGGATCATTCTTACGTCTAGGAACGGACGCTCACAGTGCGATATTGTGTACATCACCCTTCTCCAATGGAGGGGAAAATTACACGGAACTTTTTAACCAAGCAGTCCTTCAAGCATTGAATACATAAATACTAAAACGCCATTCAGTGGATTATCGCGCATTAATCTGGATTGATACTGTAAAGCATTAATATGCATTGATAAATAATTTTGAGCGTTTTGTAGTTCATTAACCGCAACGTGAACGTTCACCATAAGGTAGCTCACATAAAAACTCTACGGATTTTGCGACCAACATTCAATTAACTATAGTTTCGAAGTTAATATTAATTCAATTAATATAGATGTTTATCTTCAATTTCGACACCAGAAGTTCTGAATTACTTTTATCGATAGCGTAATTAGTTTCCGTCAATAAAATATGAATGAGCGTACAAACTAAAATTTCAAGTTTTCTTCAATTTTTCATTCTAGTCCTAAAAATTTTAAAAAAGTATTAAGAAAGATGGACAAGAGCATCCAAGTTTGGAAGCATAAGTTGAAGATAAAGCACATGGATTTTAGTCAAAATTGGGTACACTTTGAAACTGAATCATTAGTAGAACTAAAACAGGAAATGTAATTGGCTGACACAATACAAACAAACGTAAATAATGCCTATTAGCCGCATATACAATCATTTTCAACCAATTTATAATTCATGTAGGATGTAAGAAATTCATGTAGAATTTTCAAAAACATTAGAAACTTTACAAACTGTTGCCTTATTATGAAAAAATAAACAATTTTTTGTCATCAAATTACTATATGAATTTTCGGCAGTAATTCGAAATTAAATATATATTTCGATTACAATTCTCATTAGATTTTTCGCACAAAGCTACGAAAAAGAAGTGACGACGTAATGCATTCCTTTAATTTAATAGAAAGCCAATAAATTCATTGAAAATAATGAACATGCTGCTAATGTGGCTTAGCGTAACGTCTAAGTGTGCTGGGCTAACATAACATCAAGCAACTCTGGCTTAAATTAGACAAACTACAATAAACGAAAATAATATTACGAGTCTCACCTTCCGCCATGTGTTGGGAGAGACGAGATGCAGCAAGACCGAACTTAAATGCTTATTTCAAACCCGAACTTAAATGCTTATTTCAAACGAACTTTGAAGGTAAGCAAACTTAAAAATAGAGCTTTAAAGAATATCTTTTCCTTGCAATCTCTCATTTTATTTTGATCCCAAATAAATTAATCCGGAATTTTTGCTAGGATACCCATGTAGGGACTTAGGATCTAAACTTGAAACTAATAACTTCTTGATTATTAATAATCCCACGTCAAACTAAGACAACTTGGAACTAGGAAATCTTTCTCCTCTGCATGCAATGTTATTACGAGTACAAATTACGAGTGAAATGACTCATATAATACTTCCAAATAATGCCTTTCTCTGATAAGCTCATTGTGAAATCCCTTGATATAACTCAAGAGCAGAATTATGCGATTAAAGGATAACAATAATAATAAAATGACCCGTTGTAGTGAATGTTTTATATGTATGTAGTTGTTTATTCTTTGTGAGTGTTAAGCGTGTACAAACGTGAAGGTATCAACGGTCAGAAGCATTCGAAGATAAACAAGTTCATTCTATGAACCCATCTCTTCAGCTAGCAAAAAAGCTTTAGTATAAATTGTTGCAATGGAATAATCCAGTAAAAATATAATATTATTTATTAGCACTGCCATAACTTCGTACAGTTCTTTTTCAAATCTAAGGAAATGAAAAGAAATTTTAATAAAATGTTGAATTTTCATTTAAAAGTTTTCAAATTAACTAATAAAGATAGAGCCGTGGAAGGTTGTGTCATGCATAAGAGTGTTTGTTGGTTACGACGGTTGACAACATTCATCACATTTTGTTTTGATTTCTGACAGTTGGTGACATCACAATCATTCCGTTATTGACATCACAAATGAGGCAGAAAGTAAGGACGACAAAATATCAGAGTTCAATATTAGTGTAGAATTTTATAATCAGTGTGCAGATCGAAAAGTATCCATGGTAGAGATTTACTCGTCGGGTTGAAAAAATATATTGTAGTGATTCACTCATCTTGTTGAAAAAAGTATTATAAGTCTCGCAATAAAAAAAATTAGAGGTTCAATGGAGGAAATGACCAAACATAATGCAGTCAACAACTGCAACACAAAAGCGCAAATGCACCCAAGCCCAAAAGTTACTTCATGATTTACAAGAGAAATTTACTGTATTGTCAGGGGGAAACAAAACGGATTGGCAAGGTTTTAAGTAGCCCATCACCAGATAATAAAAGAAGAATGAAGCCAACCTTCAATATGCCATCAGCGCAAAATCCTATACTGAACCGAGAATTCAGTGGAAATAAGAAGAAATTACAGGCTGATAAGGAAACTAAAATGATAGGAACTATACAACAATTGAAGTTGAGTTTTGTCTGGAACTCTGCATCTGAAATTTTTATCGATTTAATAAGCTAAAGAATATAATTACTGTCAAGAAATATATATTTCTTCAGTGTAATCTGTAATGTGCTTCAGTCATTAGTAGCACACATAAATGAGATCAAAGATGCATATCAGCACGAATATTTGAAAAAAGTATCCTAACTAGTATAAAAGTTAGGAAGCCGTACATGGTTAGAGTGGCCCAACTACAAATAGAGAACCAACTTGAAAAAATGTAACCTACTCCAATAATAGCTACACGCGCCTCAATAACAAACCAAAAACTCCCGCCCTCGGCTGCGCGAAACAATGTAACATTCCCCTGCCTACAGCCCCACTTACTTGAACCAGCTTCGTCGCCACTGAGGTATCGTTCGAGTATCTTAAAGGAGGCGCTTTGTACGGGCACCTCGGGAGTGCCCATCATTTCGGAGGGGGACGCCGCCCCGCAGTACACGCTATTTGTACCTGAAGCTACGGGAGGTGTCTTAGGAGCTCGGTCCATCTCCTGCACCATCCTCAGTACGTCCGAGTCCAAGTCCACACCTCCGTCCCGACCCTTCTTCATGAAGTTCACACTAAACAGCGCGGAGACTTACATTAGTAGTGGCTTCACTTCAAAACCTCGCATTGTGCAAAACGCTGTTGAACCAATTTCCCATATGTTCTCAATTTACTTACAAATCACGGGAATAAGGAGCTTACATACCTACGTCACATGCAACATTATGATGTTTTTCACATGAGGGTTGGAACTCACGTCAAATGCGGGTCATGACAGTTAAACCGACTTCACAATACGGATAACTTTCAAGTTATGTTAAGAAGGTTCACCAGGGAGCGAATATGTTTAAGGTTCACATGAAGTTTGAGCTCAGTCTCGTAAGGGTCGTAACTTCAGGGGTATCGACTGCAATAATGACGTCATTGTAATAAAGTAGTGTCTTTATTACAATGTCTTACAAATCATTAATTAATATAGAAAATACGCTGCTAACTTATGACCAACGGCGTTACTTTGAGTGCAGGCATTGCTTAGAACGGTACGATGATCAACGACAAATGATTAAATTGGCCACAATATAACTGTCAAAATCAATCAAGTTTGTGCTCGAGCCTTTGCTGTCAATTTTTTGACAGCAGGAATGGATGAAACGTTTTTAGATAAAAGTCTAATGTAAACATTGAATTTTAACAAAACATATTGAAACAACTTAGTAGTACCTATGGACCTCTGAAAAATATTTCTCATCTAATATTCGTCTCATAACATTTGAATGGTTATGGAGGAGACATTCTGCGAGAAATCTTTTACGAAAAAGCAAAACTTTAAAAATATGGATTCAGAATCGAGCCACAAATTAAAGGCGAACAAAGGTTTTCAGAACAGGAATGAAGTTAAATGAAAACAACGAATAAAGACGAAAATACAAAATGAGACCAAAGAAAATGAACTCAGGAAACAAAGTTTTTAGTAACCGAAAGAGGAAACACAAACACACATACGTCACCGAGCACGCTGAGACCACACCACACTGCTACACCTCAATTTACATGCCGCTCAAACACCGCCCGGTGCTGCAATTATCATTAATTCACAGTGATAAATTATCACGACCTACAATTTAATTTTAAAATGAGTTATATGGGATAATCACGATCTGGTCGTAGTAATATATCGTTGCAGGTAGCGGAACTTGAAATGGTTTCAAGCTCACCAATGGAATAATTGAATAGCATTTATCCCGATGGGGAAAGCTTACAGGGTCGTTAAATTTGCAAACCAGCGCATGCAGCAATGACGTTGAAGGATAAATCTCAAACCATGGAATCGGAGCAGAAACAATTGAAGCAAACAGGAACAACACAACGCATGCATATTCTTGCTTGGCATCTGTGTTTGGAGATCAACTCCACGCAAGTTAGCGAAAGTTCCAAATGAATGACGGAGTTGAAATTTTCGTAATTCCTCAACGTTGCTTTGGACGAATTCTGGTAACATAAAATTGTCAATAGTTTATTTCTTGTTCCATCGAAACCACCAGTTTCCTTGATCGCTTCCTCTTCGCTCTTGATTTAAAAACCGTCCGTGTTATATATATTCCAATTAGAAGTTGGCATTTGTAGCTACCAATATTCAGTAAGACGGATCTCAACCTGGCTGACTGGACGTATTTCACTAAACTTATTCCTGTAACCTGTGAACTAAACTGAAGCGAATGCATCTGCAGTCTGGAGCATAGGTAAGTAGGGATGAATTTCAACTACCTTCATCACCTTAATTCCTCTTTCATGCATCGCCTCCATCGCCTTCATTTCGGTTCATATTGAAAGTCTTTTAAGTCTTTGAGATTTCCCCGGTCGTGCACGAGTGTAGTGACGTTCACCTGCTTGTCCAGGCTGAGGTGCAGGGAAAACTGGCTTGGGTGCCGGCGGGGCGCTGTCGGCAAGAGGCAGCTGCTTGCGGGGCTTGGGGACCTCATCAGCGGCGCCCTCACCGTGGATCATTTGATAAGTGGGCGAGTCTGTACGCAGCTTCACCTCGCGGTCGAACTTGTGGAAGTTTATGCTGCAGACACACGCCAATTCCGGGTTTTAAATTATAAACGCAATTTGCCATACAGTCTGAGAAACAAGTGTGACTTGGTCCAAATTGTGATGTAGGCACTCTTTGCCTTTGTGTGGGGTCATCCAGGCCCACTTTGGCCCTGCTAAGTCACCGATCTACGTTTCGTTCAAGTATTATTTCACTATTTGGACAATATAACCGAGTAATTTAACAGGGTGTACAATTAGCTGACGATCAAACAATTCCCGCCAATACAACAGCCATATTAGCACCGGTCAAGGTATACTTCGTATACACATTACAGCTCTTGACAATTGACTCATTGGACAAAAGCTGGTTTGGTCACTACCGAGAAGCCATCGGAGATCAGATACATTTGAACCAAACTAATAAATAGGCGAGCTCATACCCAAGACAGCACACGAAGCGGAGGTGATTCAAGTCGAGGCTTCAACATAAAAATCATAGAAAATGCTGTTCTTTCTCAGGAATTATTTTGAAGATTCGAGATTTTGGTTAGCAGACGTACAAAAATAACCACCGAATAAACCCCCGTTAAATGACAGCAAAACCAACCGACAAGGCGACTTCTACGGAGAGCAACTGATTTCTAACAGCAGCCGATTCTTTCTCAGAAATTCTTAAGAAGATTTGAAATTTTGGTTAGCACATGTAAAAAATAACTACCGAATAAAGCCCAGTTAAATGACAGCAAAACCAACCGACAAGGCGACTTCTACGGAGAGCAACTGATTTCTAACAGCAGCCGATGCCTCAGACGGTCGGGTGTAATTACTGAAAATCTGGGAGCGATAAATCGATCTAGTGAAATGATAGGCGGAAATTTACTTGCCATGTGCTCTTACTTTAAGCCTAAAACCTTGCAGAGTCGGAAAAACGCTAACAATTTGCAAAACAATTATACAATATCGCTGTATTAATAACACTCAATGGCACCATCAACCAAAACTTTTTCTCAAATGCGTCCATAAAATTATACTAACGTCAATATTGAAGCATATTTACATCCATGAATTTAGCTCTGATTTAAGCAAGAAGCAACAACACGCACTCGTTCGTTCAGTCGCAATTGCTGAATGCAGGCATCCAGAAAAAAAGAGAAATCCGGAGTCAAAATGAACGAGTATGAATTCAAAAAAATAGTGATAGTGAATAGCAGAAGTAGCAAATAGAACGAACTGAATCTTTTAAAAGAACCAACGAACGAACGTTCACAAAGCACAAAAAAGGAGGAAAAATCACAGAAGTTGGTCGAAATACGACCGAAATTGTGTGAAAATAACAAACATCACTTTAAAAAGTAAGTCTAGTGGCCATATATAAAAACATGGTCGTGTTTACTTGATAAAATTTGTGGCCATGAAGATAGATTAGAAGAATTTCGAAAAGAACAATACCGTTAAACCTGCTCGGTGATATACGTATATACCGGTTACCGATGTTTAAACATATACGGTGATATACGTATATATATCTGCGGTGATATACGTAAGTGATATCGGCGCTGATATACCACCGATATCTCAGCCGATCAAGTCAACTTGCATGTTTTTTTTTTAAATCAAGTTGACACACCTGAATTATGTAGCTCGTTTCAAATAATTATTACAATAAACCTAACAATACACATTTCAATGTTATTGGGCTACAAATTGTATCTAAGATAACTGTTATCATTCAAGTAATCATTCTTATTTTAAGACTGATTGTCATTCAATTTTTTCAACAAGTTTCATCTTTCTATTATAATTGATATTACATAAAAATTAGAATACAGGTGACAAATTAATCCGACGAATCTTAACTACAAAATTAAAAATAATTGTTCAAATTTGTGACTGATGGCAATAATTTGTTGAAATAATTATACGATTAGATCGACACAGAACACATTTTACTTGATGTAATATTATTACTATTTATGATGTACAAAAAACACATTATACTTGATTTAATAATAAAAATATGAATGATGGACAAAGAACACAATATATTTGCTGTAATAATACTGATACTATGAATGATGGACAAGAACACAATGTATTTGATGTAATAATACTGATACTATGAATGATGGACAAGAACACAATGTATTTNAGAACACAGTGTATTTGATGTAATCAAAGAACACAAGAACGCGTGACGGATAAGACTCACCCCAGGCATCCCTTGCCGAGCACCTCGGACTGGGCGGAGAGAGCCTCAGCGATGCTGTCCTCGTTGTAGAGGTTGATGGGGGAGTTGTACTGAGGGTTCACGATCGGCGTCCCGTTCACCTGGCCAAGTAAACACTGGCGTCAAGTAAACGATGGCGGATGAAGGTATAGGGATACAAGTGATGTCGGGGAATGAATATTTGGGGATTATCGGGGAATGGAGGTTTGGGGATTATGTCGGGGAATGGAGGTTTGGGGCGTCAATGGGGCGTCAAGTGATGTCAGGGAATGAAGGTTTGGCGCTTCAAGTAATGTCAGGGAATGAAGGTTTGGGGCAAGTGATGTCGGGGAATGAAGGTTTGGGGCTTCAAGTAATGTCAGGGAATGAAGGTTTGGGGATTATGTCAGGGAATGAAGGTTTGCGGCTTCAAGTGATGTCAGGGAATGAAGATTTTGGTCTTTAAATGATGTCATGGAATCGAGATTGGGGACTTGAAACGATGTCTCGTAATGAAGGTGGATTGGGGCTTAAAATAAAGTGAAGGGATTGAGGCTTCATAGGTCATAGTGCAACAAAGAAAATCTACATCAACTTACCAGACCACGTACGAAAACAATGGAAAGTCACTCCCACACACTAAGAGGGAAATTCGTTCAGGTCAGGAGAATATCATTCATATATACAAACGAACATAAGATTATCTGAAACGCAAGCATGGAAAGTCGAGCGCAGCATGTAATAAAGCAAAAGTAAATGCAGGCTGTAAAAGTGAATACGCACTTTGAATTATGACGTGACAGATTTCCGGAAGTAAAACAAGTAAAGACGGTGAGAAACAACGCGAAAAGTATATATATAATATAACTGACCGCAATTAGAACAGCAAGTATAGTATACACTTGAGTAAAATTGAACAGCTCTAGCGCAGAATGAAGATGAATGAAGAGGTCAATATCAATTCAAGTGCTAAATGCAACAAGATGCCAGTGCTAAATCAACACAATAAAAATACCACATGAAAAATAAAATTGAATTTAGAAATGGAAGAAAATTGAATTTAGAAATGGAAGAAAACTGAATTTAGAAATAGAAGAATATAAAATTATAAATTTCATGAAAATTACAGTTAAAGTAAAACCTAATTAAATTTTCAAATGAAATAATACTCAAATGGCAAACATTCGTAGATCTACGCCTGCCGCAAAAAAAAATTCCCAGAAAGCTCGCAACAAAGCAACATGCGATCTGAAATGCTGGAAGTTAAGTGAAAGCGTAGCGGAGGTTCAGGATATGCATAGTCTCTAAGGATGGATCGATTAAACACCCGCTGGGGCAGCTGTGAAAAAAGCATAGGCATTATTAGGGAAGGACAGCTTGTATCTAATGAGAGTCCGCTGACAAAGCTGCAACAAGAAGCATTAATGAGCCAAAAATGTTACTCGTATTCCACACGTCGATCAAGCTTCCACTTCTGCTGAATTGCGGCTAGAGGAAAACTTGGTGTTCCAAATCTACAATTCCAACAGATAATAATCGTATTGTAATTAAGTTTCAATGCAAAAAGCGTGAATTTCATAGATTACGAATACTTGTTTTCATTTATGACAACGATTCTAAGATGAGTTTAATTTTCAATGCTCGATGCGTTACAAGCGGAACGTTCGTAATAACGTTGAGGCCAAGTGGAGCTACAATAAGCATTTCTAATGGTTCAAGAAAAAATGTCTCTCCGTTAGATCAGGTCATACAGCATAGATACACCAAATAACTAGATTACTTTATTAATTATTGGCCGGAGTAGAGCTAAAATGTGAAATAAATCAGACAGTTAATGGTTTGTGATAGAAGCGTACATATTAGCCGAGTTTTAATAAGGCATCACCTCTCCAAAGGCGACAGGCTTGGCGTTGAAGCCCTTGGGAGCTCGCTGCTGCAGGGGCGCGTCCTGCACGGAGGAGGCAACCCACAAGCCACATTAGCCACCCTCGTTTATGCCACAAGAAATATTAGCCACCCTCATTTAGGCCACAAGCTACATTAGCAACCCTCATTTATGCCACAAGCCACATTAGCCATCCTCATTTATGCCACGGAAATTATATGTTATATTTGTCGTATTAAATAGGTATAATTGTGTAGATACTCGCTACGATTGTATCTTTGTAAAATTATGCAGTCTGACAAGGTTTGAAGCAACTGATTTCTCACGTATTTAAAACCTTATCTCAGCATCCTATTCTTTCACTTGATTTCATTCTCTTTTACGTCAATAACAGACGAAAACTTCGGGATAAATTCATATCGGAGCTCACAATCAAACTTCAGACACCTATTATACCAATATACAGGAGTTTTTGCAGTAAAATCTTTAAAATTCAGATCTGAAAACGAATTTTTAGTTCGTTAAAGAGTATAACTTTGCGAAGCCAGAATAAGAATATGTGCTGCGTCATTGCAGTCAGTTTCACTAAAATTTGGTGGAATGCATGCCATAAATGCGATATCCTGAGCCTACAAATGAAAGGGTGCAAAATTGGAACAACAAATTCATGCTAATCTTATGGCAAAAAGGTCAAATTAATCAGAATAATTCATTCAAGCAAAAATCGAAAGGGTCACTTACTTAAATCTAAAAAAAAGTTCTCCATAAATATAAAAAAATTAAGGGCAAATTAACAGCATCATAAGACGAACCAACTCAAAATTAAAAGAAAGCAAGCCATTTTGGGTAACAAGAATGGGTAGCAATCAGGAGTAATTGCAGAATATAAAAGTCTTTTTTTCGGATATCAAGTTTCCTGAAAAAGGGCATAACCCAGTCAAGGCAAACTATCAAGTCAAACCTCAGCTTTTAATTATAATTCGAGTTACAAGATGCAAACTGGTAATTGGCGAAGCATGGGGGAACGAGACAATACAGTTCATGTATATTATTAAATATTAATTGATAAAAAAAAATAATAATACCTAAAATTTTAAATAAATCCAATTCTTCGCAAACGCTTATTAAACATCAATGACGGTATAAGCAACATATGCAGAAAATACTTGGCTTCGAAATCCAATCTCAATCACAAGGAAAACCAAATTAAAACGAAAGAGCCCGAAAACTTCGAAGAAAATGGATAGACAACACATAAATGATATGAAGGACTTCGAAATCATATTTTAATTATGAGGATAAAAAATTTAAACGAATTGACCAGAAAACTTAGGGGGAATTTTTAACGCTTGACCACTCACCGGCGGCCATCGGAGGACAGAAGCAGCAACGGCGGCAAGGGGAGAAAAGTAAGATCAACTAACGAGCCAACGTCAGCATGGTACATTTCATCATAATTATCGTGAATAAAATGATAATTGGTATCTTTACTATTCGCTAGGTCAACATAATTATGCACTCAGGAAATGGATGGTCGTTTTGTCCAAAATCCGACACACCTACCCACAGCTCAAGCAGAGAGCGGGAGAAGCAATGTTACGTCATATTTTCGTGCCACAAGGCTCAGGCTGACCCACAAAAGGGCAGAGTGCATCGATATTTGGACAAAATTTCGCGCATTTCACCGAGTGTAATAGTCGCGTCACCATCAGGCAAACAATAATGATGAGCGCCAAGATTTTTTTTACACGATTCACACTACGTATCCTAGCGATCATTGAAATCAAGAGGGTAAAGCAATACTAATGGCAACATTATGAAGAGAACATACTGAACATTACAAGCCTGAATATAACTGAATTTTGAACCTGCAAATTTAAGATTGAAAAGAGTTTACAATTGGTGTCGAAAATTATCCCTTAGCAGGGGTGGCTGTACACAGCCTGCTCATGGCTAGACGTCAACAAATAAGGTGCAGGGCATAGAGATTAAAAGTAAAATTCATAGTAATATAATATAACTAATACAATTTTCGGTCAAACTCATATAATTAACTGTTGGACAAAGGAGGAGAACAGCTTATCGACGTTATAGCATCCGTCATAAATAAATATTTATCTGGTTCCGATGTCAGAAGTCATCTGCAAGGAAATCTGTGTTAAGTGTTCGACAAACTCATAAATCGAATAATAGCAAGATGTTATCCACCATAAAAATCTGTACATGCAACAAAAAAAAAACATGCTCCCAGAAGCCATGCATGCAAACACACGTGAAGCTACAAAGAACAGCACCCGAAACCAATTCTACAAGCATAAAAGTTGGTTGTTCATGCAAATTCGTGCTTATTAAGGTCATACAAATGAAGCCAGTGCGTCTCTCACTTTAGGAGTTGGACTCGTGCTGTAACTGCGCGACGCTTCCGTGACGGCAACAGCGCTTTTTCGCCGCAGCTCCGAGAAGTGGTTGCGCCACGGAACATTACTGTTACTGCCACTCATAGTCGCCTTATCTTCCACGTTGGAGAGACTGGAACAAGAACCTGAGAACGGAACCCTACGCAGGGAACCATCTCCTGCCCATCTGTTGCGAGGAGTCTCACGCGGGGCTGTGTTTTTCAGGAAGCGACCAGTGCTGCTGGTTCGATCAGCTACAGAGGAAGGAGAAGTGGAGGAAAGGTTGGCATTGCGGTCAAGCGTGCTGCTTTTGAAGTTCAGTTTGCCAGGCTGAGGAGGAACAAAACTGCTGTGTCTGCGGCCTCCATTAAAGAGCTTAATATTATCACTAACTTTGCTACTCCTGCGCTCCTCGCTTGACTTATTCGCTTCGTTGATACTATTTCCATTCAACTCGGAAGAATGAGTCTTCCAGAAAATGTTGTCCGTGCTTCTATTGGGGAAATGTTTCTTGCTGTTGTTGTTGTTCAAGCATTTGTCGACGACAGCCGAGTTGTTGAGATTGTGACTAGGCACACCACCAGAATATTTGCGGGTTTTGGTGTTGAATCTGTCTCCTGTTATGTTGTCTTCGTAGATGGCGTCTTTTGAAGAGACGAGCGACTTTACATAGAGCTCCCGAGCTCTCTCTTTATCAAGCTGCATTTGGAGGAAATTTCGTGCATTTTCTTTGTCGAGGGAAATGTCTGCTCCTTCGATCTTAAGTGCGTTCTCTTTCTCAATATCGAAAACAGGATTTAGGAACTGGTCATGTGAAGCCGACGTTGGTGACGATGAAAGATTCGTATAGGTATTTTTGCTCTGGAAAATGCCCAGACTACCTGCTCCCGGAGAAGGGGATCGTCCTTGTGGGGAAACGTCAAGCCTCGCGGATTGCAAGGGAGGCGGAGGTGAAGGAAACGGTGGCGAAACGCATCGATTTTTCAGCACACTACTATCGGAAGCGTAAGATAAGTCGTGCAAGTTATTCAGACTATCCCGACTGGAAGTCAACCTTCGCGTAATGTCGTTCGAGTATCCATGAGAAGCTCCGACGCCTCTGGAGAGGACCGAACTAGAGTCGAAAGACACCTCAGAATTGCCGTCTGCGGAGTCCAAACGTGAACGACTGAAAAGAAGTCGCGAGGGTGAAAAAGACGGAGATGACCCACTGCGAATGTCGTGTATGTCACCGTACTCGATTTTAGATTCCAGAGGATAGCCAGCGCTGAAGTTGTTCTTCGGTTGAGGAGTAGACTCGGAGGGACTACTGAAGGCAGGAGGAAGGGTAGGAGTTCTTACATGGATGGGAGAAGACGCCCAGGTGCCAGGACCAGGAAATGGTCTGGGTGAAGTGTTGTGGCTGCTGCCGATGTTAATCTGGGTAACGCACACGGGACATACACTATGACCGTTAGTGATTCAGGTATTATCTATGGGCATCGAGAGGATAAATCTACTGGCAATAATAGGGACACATCGATTAAAAACACAGAAATCATGAGTTAGTTGAAAATGATTTTTGTAAGTTAAGCAAAAACATTGAAATGACACCTAGAAATAATCGACAACATCAAGATGAGTCTAATGAATTCGCAGGGTAAATTTCGTTAGCAAAAGAGTTGATTAAATGTATACCAGAAAGTGGTATTGAAATATCTAAAAGTTAAAAATATAATCTGCGCGCTGGACAAAGCACACAACTCAGTACACTACTATGAGGGCGAGACACAAGTTAATTTGGAAACTTCTTGTTAAAGACCGAAAGAATAACGTCTCTAGAACCATGGCAAGAAACCTCTTCAAACTCGCGCTGGAGAATTACTTCAAGAGATAAATAAATACATGAGCGAATACAGGTAAATAAGGTGTATATTTAGGGTTGATCTCGGCCTAGAGCTGGGGAGATTCCTTGTGCTCGCGGTGGGAATTTTTTTTTTTTGCCTCTGTAAATGTAGCTCCCTGATCCTAGGAACTTTATTAAAATTGTTACACACAAATGAAAATGCTTCCAACTGGTACCTGGGAAATGTAGCTTCCTTTTTGCCTAGGTAAATGTAGCTCCCTGGTCCTAAGAGTTTTATTAAAATTGTTACACACAAATGAAAATGCTTCTAACTGGTGCCTAGGTAAATGTAGCTCCCCGATCCTATAAGAGCTTTAGTAAAATTGTAACGAACAATTTAAAATGCTTCTAACTGGTGCCTAGGAAATGTAGCTTCCTTTTTCCCCAGGTAAATATAGCTCCCTGATCCCAAGAGCTTTAGTAAAATTGTAACGCACAAATGAAAATGAACTGGTGATTTCCGGTACGGCAGCCATGATAGTTTGGCCCGGCGAAACAGACATCGTTAGCCCCTCCTTCATGCGGCCGGCAGACCAAACATTCTCTTTAACATCGCCTCTACTAAAACAAACACGCCATACAACCGCACGGGTAGTGATGGTTTGGCTTCTGATCTCATCTTAAGATGTTTTTTCAGCACTCTTGTAAATAAACAATCAAGAAAAAACGCTGTCTAATTAGACAACTTGTTTATTGAATAAAGATCGCACTGATAATGCTTTCCGGCACTGTGAAACTTTGGATTTATATAAGCGTAATAATCTTGCGCCATAAATAATAATATTACAAATAAAAACTTATTTTATTAACTTTGTAACTCAATTTAGTTCATACCTTAAGAATGGATACGAGAAGATTAATGAACTGAACTCTTGCTGGTTTTGTCTTGCTGTTTTTTTTTGTATAATTCCAGAGTAAGGATATATACTATTATTAATAGTATAAGTATACTATTAATAATACCATCCTTGTGCTATTATTAATAGTATAAGAATAAATATTATTGAACAGAACACGCATGTGTTATGACTCACCTTGGCGGCAGCGTTCTTGATGAGGGAGGTCTTGGTGGCGACGGGACCCTGCGGTGTGGGTGATACGAATATTAATGAACTAAACACTAGCGAGTTTTGTCGATTAATAATGTATAATTCCAGAATAAGGATATTATTATTGAATATAAATATTATATTATTGAACTTAACACTTGCGAGTTTCGTCTATTAATAATGTATAACGGTACCATAATTCCAGAATAAGGATAAATATTATTGAACTAAACACCTGCGGGTTTCGTCTATTAATAACGTATAATTCCAGAACTGAACATATAATACGTTATTAATATTATTGAACTAAACACCTGCGGATTTCGTCTATTAATAACGTATAATTCCAGAAATGAACACATTATACGTTATTAATATTATTGAAGTAATCATTGCGGGTTTTGTCGATTAATAATCTATTATTAACATAATAAGGATATACATTATTGAACAGAACACGCATGTGTTGTGACTCACCTTGGCGGCAGCGTTCTTGATGAGGGAGGTCTTGGTGGCGACGGGACCCTGCGGTGTGGGCGCCGGCTGCGCCAGGGGCGTCACCTTGGGCTTCCACAGCGTCGAGCCTCTGCACAAATTTATATAATGTAAAAAAAATAAACAAAAAATTAATAATAAGCGCATTTTTAACGTGTATGGGCAGACCAGGTTGTGGGTCTCTCAACCAAAAAAATTTCATTTTAACCGTAAATATAAAGATGAGATGCAATTCTTAGATGAAATTTCAACGTAATTCACGGTAATGTTCGCAAACAAGCGAAAGGCAGATCAGCTCTAAAAATTTTATATAATATAATGGCGAAAGTGAGGAACCGAGGGATATAAACCCCAGTTTACAAGAAAAAAAAAACAGAGTGATGCTAGGATGACCGCAAATTGAGTTAGGTTATTACCAAGCGTCACTACGACCATGTAAGGTAACTCGCAGACCCGCGAGCTCAAAAGCTCCTATAAGGACGGACGCAACTCAAGAGGGTCGGGATTTACGAGCCACGGCTTCCTCTCTTGTCTTTTTCTATATTTTATCCCACCTTCTTATTCTCTCTTTTGCGCGCTTTCTTCTTTATTATTTCACTTACATCCTTCTTCATTGGCTTATCCCATCCTATTCAAAAGAGTACCGCTTGGGCGCTTGATGCGTTTCTTCATGTTTCCTGTACTGCCTCGTCCGTTTCTTAGTTTCTATCCAAATGAGCGAACGCTTAGTACCCCAACTCTCATCTACACGAAGATTCTCTTGTTCTCAAATTATCGCACCTAACTGACAGTAAATAAACTTATTCTTCACTTTCCTAAAAGATAAAAACTCTACCCATGCCCTCCACCGCCGCCACAAGCACACATCCCCAAGCGCCCCCCAATATCAGACGAGAGGAGGCCGCTACAAAGGGCGCTCTGTTGCGCCATGTGTGGGCGATTGATGGCGGGACATCAATGGCACATTTGCCACGGCTGAGGAACCTCGTCATCAACCAACGTTCTCTATTTAAAATCAGAATCTAGTCAGGGCTTTGCGACCGTCGGCCGTATATCAACAACCGAAGACATTAAATCACAAACATTGCCTTTGAGGTCATGAGCGGTCAGTCCTACTGAAAGTTTACCAAATATCCTCAGCGAAAAGCTGTTCAGTGCGTCCCATAACACCAAAGCAAAATGGCTATAGACTACTGGTATACACAGATAGTCTAGCAAAGTTAAGTGCATGAAGTGCTCTGTGCACTTAATTTTGCTCAGTGAGCTCAACAACGACAATTTAACTCAACGATTCCGAAATACGTCGTCATGAGCAATATTTCTGTTTTCGGTGTCGATGCTTGCCACTCACCGCTGGACGACGAGCTGGAAGGAGTTGCCGGCCTGCCACTCACCGCTGGACGACGAGCTGGAAGGAGTTGCCGGCCTGCCACTCACCGCTGGACGCCGAGCTGGAAGGAGTTGCCGGCCTGCCACTCACCGCTGGACGACGAGCTGGAAGGATTTGCCGGCCTGCCACTCACCGCTGGACGACGAGCTGGAAGGAGTTGCCGGCCCTAACGATGGCGTCCTGCGCCTCCTTATGCCGCAGGCTGATGGCGTCCACGCCGCCGATGCTGACGATGGCATCGCCAACCTGCACCCCAGCCTGCTCTGCCACCGACCCTACGTTGACCTGCAACGTCACGCATCACATATAAGCGGCATCCTTCAGAAAACTCAGCGTATAATAGCTTTACAGAATTTAATGTCACTAAAAGTGATTATAAAACACGGGGTTCATACAATACCTTACGGATAGGTAATTAGTAAAAAAAAATGCGAGACTTATTATTCATGGAATTCTGTACATAATAAGCAGTAAAACCTGTTTACAGAAGACCACGTCCAGACCGAAGCTAATTTAATGATTTGTCTTCCTTCTAAGCTGTATATAATTCGATATTTCGTTATGTAGCTACAAGTAGACCACATTTAATAAATGTCGGTTAAAAGATAAATGCACACCTGCAAGTTGTTTTTATATGGTATATTTTTAAGCATATTCAAATTAGTTTTTTTTTTTTATTTCTTGGACACTGGCCGGACAGCAACACTCAAATAGTGAAGTAACCGACATATTTTTAGGCTTAACACAAACAATCTTGAACATATAACCTGGCTGTCACATGCCTAACTGAATCTCGATGAAGTAAAGAACAAAGATAGACTTCACGCGCGTCGCTGTGTAAATAATAAATTTGTAACTCACCATTTTATTCGTCTATAGGGTATACACTATGATGTGCGCGGTCTATCCACGATTTTCGAACACATCAAGAATAAATAACACATTTTATTGAAAATAAAGTTTTCTATGAGGGAACATCTTCCCCAAAAACTATGCTCACCATCGAACGGAATATATTATTTTATTTTCATAATATTGCACAGAAATTTAGCATAGAAGCGAGAGCTTGGAAGGCTCTGAAGGAGCCAAACAAGAGCTCTGCTCTCAAGCGTCCCTGATAACTTCAGCTAAGGCTGATAGCGCTAAATGCTTAAATCTTTAGGTAGCAATAGCTTTACAATTAAGCTTAAATAGTCTGATAGCGCTAAATGCTTAAATCTTTAGGTAGCAATAGCTTTACAATTAAGCTTAAAACCTCGCCTGCATGGGCACAGTAAGGAACGTTACTCCTCCACGCAAATGACATGAATAGTAAGACAATCGAATTATGTAGCAACAGTTTTCATGCATTTCAACACTTAATATGATATATTTGACCCGCATAGTACCTAGTGAAACAATAAACCTACACCAGTAGTAAAGAGGTAAGCACCAGAGATGGCTAAGAGCGCCAGGCTTCGACGCTGTTCATTTGCTACGAAAAAACTTGAAAAAATACGGCTGAGCAAAAGCCTACACCTTCGTCACACGTAAAATACGGCTGACTGCCGGCCCACTCCATCGGCTCACGAAACATACGGCTCAAAGATTCATCATTTTAGATTCATTATTTTTCTAAATAATAAATCTAAATAATGCGCAATAAGGAGAAGCTAATTTACAGTAAGACGTATTTGTAACGAATAATAATGTAATAGAATACGTGGAGACAAACGAGTAAAAGACAACTGACGGCACCAAGTGCATCAAATGAAACCGGCGGCGCCTGTACATCCACTTACAACAAGGTAATTACCTCATACAAGTCCCCGTACATCACCAACACCATCTACAATAACGAGTCATTCATTGTCCATGTACTCGACCAAAAACAATCAAGCTGTAGCAGGGCAAGTTTTTGTGCACAGTGCGCTAATTAGAAGAAATATGAACAGCGTATTGAGAGAACTCAATTTTAATGGCATCAAATACGGACATGTTAACCGCAACCCGGAAATTCCAAGCCGCTCCTTTACCGCAACGAACAAGAAATGCCGAAGTCCCCCTCAATGCAGACGTTTGGGCTTCAGGTATTTACGCTAAAGAATTCTCGGCTAAAGAGACTCATCTGGTAGGAATAGCATTAAATTAATGACGTTTGTTCGTCTCGAGCATATCCGGCAGATGTTGTAGATCATGTGCTCAAGATATATAGAATCGATCTTTAAAATCGCGCATCATTCATTAAAATCTGACATCGAGCTACATAAAATTCTAAATAGATCTATACAATTGTGCATTCGTCTTAAATATCAAGAAGTGGTCGAAACAACGTCAGTTTTTTTAATATTCCAATTCTTCGTGAAATTCCGTACCGATTCGAAAAGATTCGTACTTTACTAATCAAATCAGTATGAGTTAAACCCATGGTGAATGTAGTGAGTCTCGAATACTTCAATAAAATTTACATACATGAATAACATTCACAATCGAGCCATAAAATACAGAAATTGTTAGAGGGCGAAGAGGGCTGCGGTGAGGGCAACCACGACGACGAGGGTGGCAGCGGAGCGCTGCAGACGCGGCGTTATAAATAGCGAACCTTCGACGCGCCCCACGCCTCACTGTGCGTGCAGTGTGTCGTGTTTTGTGCGTAGTCTGTGCGTGTCTTGAGCTTCGTGCGTGTCGTGTGCGTGCAGTGTGTCGTGTTTTGTGCGTAGTCTGTGCGTGTCTTGAGCTCCGTGCGTGTCGTGTGCGTGGTGAGTGTTGTGTGCGTGCAGTGTGTCGTGATTTGTGCGTGTCTTGAGCTCGGTGCGTGTCTTGAACTCCATGCGTGTCATGTGCGTGGAGCGTGTTGTGTGCGTGCAGTGTGTCGTGTTTTGTGCGTGTCTTGAGCTCGGTGCGTGTCGTGTGCGTGGAGCGTTTCGTGTGCGTGCAGTGTGTCGTGTTTTGTGCGTGTCTTGAGCTCGGTGCGTGTCGTGTGCGTGTCGTGTGCGTGGCACGTACATGGCGCGTTTCGTGTGCGTGTCATGTGCGTGGCGTGTGGCGTATCCGTGGCGCGTGTCGTGAGCGTGGCGCGTGTCGTGAGTGTGTCGTGTGCGTGGCGTGTGAGTGCGCATGGCACATGTCGTGTGCACAATGCATGTCGTGTGCCGTGCGCGTGATGCGTGCCGTGCGCGTATAAGGCGACGTGAACGTATGCATGAGCGTATGCGTTGTGACGTTAAACAATTCTGCTTTGGAGCACGCATAATTTACACTGAGCGTTATGTATGTGGTGTATGTGCATGGAAAAAAGTGATTGCTTATGAAGCCACGACTAGTGTATGGAATGAAGCATCTTGCTTTTGCATGACACGCATAACACTTAATATTTTATGGCAATATTTAATGTTTTATGATAATATTTAATATTTTATGACAATACTTGATATTTTATGACAATATTTAATATTTTATGACAATACTTGATATTTTATGACAATATTTAATATTTTATGACAATACTTGATATTTTATGACAATATTTAATATTTTATGACAATACTTGATATTTTATGACAATATTTAATATTTTATGACAATACTTGATATTTTATGACAATATTTAATATTTTATGACAATACTTGATATTTTATGACAATATTTAATATTTTATGACAATACTTGATATTTTATGACAATATTTAATATTTTATGACAATACTTGATATTTTATGACAATATTTAATATTTTATGACAATACTTGATATTTTATGACAATATTTAATATTTTATGACAATACTTGATATTTTATGACAATATTTAATATTTTATGACAATACTTGATATTTTATGACAATATTTAATATTTTATGACAATACTTGATATTTTATGACAATATTTAATATTTTATGACAATACTTGATATTTTATGACAATATTTAATATTTTATGACAATACTTGATATTTTATGACAATATTTAATATTTTATGACAATACTTGATATTTTATGACAATATTTAATATTTTATGACAATACTTGATATTTTATGACAATATTTAATATTTTATGACAATACTTGATATTTTATGACAATATTTAATATTTTATGACAATACTTGATATTTTATGACAATATTTAATATTTTATGACAATACTTGATATTTTATGACAATATTTAATATTTTATGACAATACTTGATATTTTATGACAATATTTAATATTTTATGACAATACTTGATATTTTATGACAATATTTAATATTTTATGACAATACTTGATATTTTATGACAATATTTAATATTTTATGACAATNAGTCTGAGTTGTAGCTTAGAAGCCCATTGCATAACTACACCTTGTGATAGGTTTAGGGTTTTTTATTTATTCATGGTATAGATGCTACATGCTTGTTAGAGATTTCGGTCCTGTCTTACCCCATCTGACTATATGTATGTGCATAGAAGAAAGTGACGGCTGATGAAGCCACGACATAGTGTATGCAATGAAGCTTCTTGCTTTTGCATGAACACGCTAACACTTAATATTTTATGGCAATATTTAATATTTTATGACAATAATTAATATTTTATGACAATATTTAATATTTTATGGCAATGAACAGTTCGAGGTTGTCAGGCTTCGAGTTGTGGACATTACAGTACGAGCTGTACTCTGGTGCCACCAGGCAAATGACTTTGAATCAAGTTTAATTGATGTTTATTCAACGAAACAACGTTTAATTCAACATTGATTAAAAGACGGAATTTTGGTGGGGTAAGATGTGAGAAAACATGAATATTTTTATGACATAAATATTATTTTGTAAACACACCGCCAATATCTCTCGTTTGGCTGCTATGCAATGTCTCTTAATTCTGACAATTGGATAAACATCCAATACCGCACGCGAGAACTGAGCCTCACTAACAACAATAAAGGAGCTAGAACGATTCCACTTCTTATATAGGGTGATTCACGAAAACTTCCTGATGTGAAAGCTCAATAAAAAAAGAACTAGTAATGATATCATAACAATATTAATTTTATTGCAAGAGACATCATCTGGATTTTGGCATCGTTTAATTCTAAAGATAACATCGGACAAATGACGGCCCCCATTTGTCAATGCATTCGTTAAGTCGATTTTTGAAGTTCCGTTCCAACTCGCTGAAGCATATTGACGGGTATGTTAGGGATGGCTTAGCGTATGTTGTTCTTCAAATAAAATAGGGTCCATGGACAGTCATTGTAAACAACTGATTTGATATAAGTTGCCCGAAATGTGTTCACCCACGTAAAAATCGATTTGCGATCA